AAAATTAGCTTATTTTCTCGTGTTAAACGTTTTTCCGGTCTAATGGTCTTTAACTTCCTCAAAGCAGTTAACACTCAAAAAAAAATAACAGTTGGGTCAAGAGAAGCTTTCTGGTGCAATACTTTTTGGGTAGCCATGAATATCTCACAATTTAGTTTTCATATTCTTCTTCTTTTATTTTCCTACAGGTTTTAATTTTTTCCACCATTGCCCACCTTGTACACAGTCACCCGTTATCATCTGCCGAACGAGAAGAAAAGGTACAGCAGATCCGTACCGAGGCGTTCAAAAGGAACAACACGAAAGAAGAGCCTACAATTTCGACAAGCAGAGCGAACGGATCCACATCTAGGAGGTTAACCACCGACGTCAAAAGCAGTGATTGTCACAGCAGTTCCGCAGTCGAAAGCAAAGTGAGCTACCAGCGCGCTTCACGGAGAAGACGGGGGACACATCCATGTGTTAAGAAAATTGTTAAGACCTACCACGCAAGCCTAGATGCAATTGTGGCCGAATACGAATGCTGGCAAGCCTCTTTCTACTGTCCTCAAACTCTGAGCGGATTGGGCCGATGTCAGCCCATCAAGAGTTTTCACGCGGGCCTTGGTAGGATTGTTACTACTGGATGCGAGTGTAAGCCGTAATCGTCATTAACTGTGAGAACACTTTGGAAAGAGATAATCTTCATTGATTAAGTATAGTATAAGCGTCGCTCTGTATAAGTAAATATCACCACATGTAAAGGAATCCAAGACAGTCTTGGATTCTGGATTCCACGCTGTGGATTCTGGATTCCAGATGCTGGATTCCGGATTTCAATCGTAAGTGGGATTCCGGTTTCCTTAAGCTGAATTCCCAATTCCAGGATTTCATGGTCCTGCATTCCGGATTCCACACGCAAAAATTTTTTCGGATTACCTTACATGCGGCGATATATGTACGTATATGTTTCTGAGAAACTGCCCACCTACCCCTCCCTTAAACCAACATTAACACTTACATCTTTCTTAGGGAAAAATGTTAGCTTAGGAGAAGGGTAGGTGGGGAGTTTCCCAGAAGCGTATAATGATATATATAAGCGTATAAGCGTATAATGATCCTAAGTAAGTTGTTTCATTTAGAGTACAAGTTGCAAATGTAACAAAATCCTTTTATACTGTTCATGTAGATAAAATTCAAATTGAACTTTTTAAACTTTAATGGCTTTGGTTTTTATTAGAAAGCACAATTCTCACTGTTGCGTACAATGGAAGCCATGATCCACTTAAAATCTGGAGGGTTCAAAGCAGGACTTTGAAAAATCGTCACTTGTCCTTTTTCCCAGTTTAAAGAACCTACAGCTGAACCTACCTTCGGCGAGCGATCAAAGCTGCTAAATTTGCTTTACTATTAGTAGCTACAGTTGATAATACCTCCCTGACCAACATCTTTTAATTAAGAACCGACGGCTTAATTGTTTTATTCATCTCCACGTTTAAAAATCTCAAAAGTTAGAAACGGATTGCAATAAAAATTACCACTCAATATATATGAGGGCGGAAATATAGAGGGTACCATATTTTTTCTCTTCTTTCGATTCCGTTTGTTAGCCTCTCTTCTCGCTCCTCGCCGCTACGGACGTTTCGCAGCAGAGACTAAGGAAACAGGGGCTTAATGCCAACAAAAAGTCATTGGGAGCACCGAGACGATTGTCCAACAACAACAAAAAAACTCTAAGAAACAAAAACTATCCGAACCATGACGTGGCATATCCAGCACATTTTTGCCGTTTTTTTAGGTAGTAAACTCATTTGTGAGCGATTGCGCCGGCATGTCAGAGCATAATTAAGATTTTTTTATATGATTGACCTTCTCGCTCGCTATTCTTACTGCAGTAAGCCAAATGTTCCTTGTTGTTTGTTGATTCAATTTTTAAAACAACCAAACGAAACAAATATTCAGGGCAATCTGCTGAAAAAGGCTGTTAAAGCTGGACTATTTATAACCGGCGTTGCTAAGTGATTGAGTGCGATTATAAGATCATGAGCTCAGTTCAACAATTAAGGCCTAAGAGCGCTGATAAAAACAATCACCAGATCAGATAGTGCGGAAATATATCTTGCCCAAGCCGAGAAATGTCGTGAAGATATAGAGAAAAGGGCAGATAAATTTGTAAATTATCAACCCATAGCTGTCCAATCAGCCTTGCCTTCAATTTTAAGAGTTATTTTACCAGCTGTTCCTGATCTTCAACAAGATCCGGCTTTCCCTCGCTGCTGTTTGTCCGAGTGGTTCTTCCAAGAATTGTTCGAGAATGTTGGTCTTTCAGTAGCCTGCGTAGCAAGCGTTTCCGTGTAGTTTCGGAGCAAAGAACAAGGAAGGAGAGGCAAACACCGCGCAACCGAAAATCCCGTTCCTCATCCATGGTTCCGCGCAACCTCGTTCCCTTCTCCAAAGCCAGGGAAAATTGTTCTGGGGACGAGGTTGCGTTCCGCGGTCTTTCTTTGCTCCGAAACCACAAGGAAACGCTCGCTACGCAGGTTAATTTTTTTCAGCCACTTTCACGTGGTCATTTTAAATGCATCATATTCCCCCAAAATTTTGCATGCCAATTGTTTTTATAACCGCACTGCTTATGAAAATTTTGCGGGGGGAGGGAAAGGGGGGAAATCAAGGTGTATCATGGGCCACGTGAGAGTGGCTAATACTGCTGTGTTTGACCAGGCTCAAGTTACGAACTCACGTATGATTGACAAATGGCGGTGTAAAACATAACGTACTTACCCTTATCTGCCCTTACACGAAAGCCGCTGAATCGAAACGGGAGAAAAGAAGGCCGTAAATTCGTGTTTTGTAAGTTCGTGACAAGGCGGCCATGGAGTTCAAAACAACGCAAATTGTTATTTTATTAATTTTTTTTTTCGTAGTGGACTTTGCACGAAAAAAGAGTAAAATTCCCAGCGGAGAAAACCAACATGAGAAAAGTGAAGCTAGCTGCAAACCAGCAATGGAGATGACTTTCATTAATATGAAGACTCAAGACACAAGACTTCGAGCAATTTGTCGTGGAAATAGCGACCTCGCTATTGGAAAACAATATTTTTGTCGTCTAAATTCGACGCCTAAGGAGCTGGATAAGGGAGGCTTCGGATCTCAACATTTTCCAAGACTGTTGTGAGGCGCTTGAGTGAGAACGACGTTCCTTGATTCGTCACAGGTAACTTTAGAAAACTGTCTATTTTTAATTTCAAAATTTTTTTGAGTACTTGTCGCTGACCTGCGTTCAGGCGTTCACGTTGTTTTTTTCGGTGGAGGGCAAAAGTCTGCGGACGGGCAAAGAGGGAATGAGGAAAGAAGGACTGCCTGATCGCGGTTCAGCTTGTCGCCATCTTGTTTTTAAACGCCAGGATACCGCGGGCTCAATGTCCGGAATTTCTTGGCCATGCGCCAATCAAAGACGAACGCCATAGTTGCATCAGTTTAAGCGATGAATTCAAGCGATTTAAGGGGTGCAGTCTGCAATGAACATTGTGGAACTCAAGGAGACGCATCTCTACTGTCATTGCTGCCGCCAATTCTTGCAGACGGCACGGCCGCGCCGCCTCTGAGAGAGCAACGACTACAATCATAAAGCAGTGTCAGCGATCCAGCGATAAAATCGTGTAACCCTTACACATCACCTCAGGACAGCCCCCAGCAACACCTCCGGAAATACTTTAGAACGTTAAACTCATATTTGACGGCAATTTAAAGGTCAGTGATGTTATATTAATCAGGTGTTTTATTTTTCCTGTTCACACTCTCCTTGCCTTGATGTCTCGTAATATTCCAAATAAGCGTTTACTTGCTATCAGTGGCTGTAGAGGGGGACTGAGTACTTTCTTTTGCAGGAAGAACAAGAGATGTGCGTGTCGCACGCAGGAAAACTGAAACTGCATGCAGTGATCGCCGGCTTTAATTGCTTACTTTAATTGACTGCATCTTCTAACAAAATGGACTTATATTTTGACTATATTTTGAAAACGGATCTCGCAATAGGATACAAAACAACTAAGTAAGTCGTATTGAAATCCCGTCGCAGTAATATTCCGGCATGGTGAAAATCGACTTGCGTCTTATAGAGGTCCTTAAATCTTCGAGTGTGTCACTTTAAGTTGTTCTGATATCATGTCGATAGGGAATCCAATATAACATCTTTGAGGTGTAAATGCGGAATCTCCGATTGATAGAACACTTGCAACGGTAACCTTTTATAAAGTATTCCACTTATTTTGTGGATTACATGCATATTTGCTCGCTTCCAGCTCGACAGCTTTAATTGAGCACAGCACCGGTGTCCAGAGGTCATGGGTTCGAATCTCTATAAACTTGTACGATTACGTAATCTGAGTACAACTACAAAGTTTTATGTTTTCATGAGCAAATCACGAATATTGTTTAAAAACGTTGTTAGAGTTTACAAATTAAAATAATTTAGCAAGACCAAAATGAATTCTGGCAATTGTCGTGAAACCGCTTGATCGTGAAAATGGTGTACTTTTTTTGAGGCCGGCTTTCTTGTCGCAGCTAAAGCTGCGCGTATAAATGCGACGAATTTTCAATTGTTAAAGACCTTTCTTCCACGGTCTAGATATATGAAATTTCATATGCTCACTTTCCTAATCTCTTTATCGGTTACGAAACAACAATCGCAACTAAGTAATGTCATGACAACCCCAGTGCAAAAAAGTCGCTCGCTCGTCACTTCAAAAATTAATCATAGCTAGCAGCTTTACACGGTTTCTTCTTTCTCTTTTTTGTTTACCGGGTCCAATATATCTTTCACCTGAAATAACTAATTATCTTTAATGCTCGGTATGCTACAGGTTTTTCAGTTAGCATGGGTTTATTAAAGGATTTCTAAGGAAAGTTTGGGTGTTGAAGCTAATTTTATGGTCCCCTACTATCCCTTGGAAAACCCTGAATTTAATGACCCTAATGAGGGCGAACCAGCTGTTCATGGCTGCCATTGCCTAGGCGATATGGCTGTGCGCATGCGTAAAGTACAAGCCATACCGCATAGTCAGGTAACGTATACTAGACCGGGTCATACTTCCTCGTAGTTTAGGTCCTGAATTTTATGCCTGGAATCAAATCAACATTTACTTCCTTGGCACGCAACCTAGGAAAGATATGTTGAAGAAAGAAAAAACGTTTTTAGCTTTAGGGCATGCCAAGGAAACAATAGCAAACTTTTTATATAAAATGACGATAGCCAAATCCTGCTGTTTTATTCCAGACGAAAATATAGACATAAATAACAAAACAGCAAAGAGAAAAGCGACTTCAGTTTTCCCGATCTTTCGGACGGACGAGCCGTCCTTCTTTAGGGGATTTAATTGTAACAACTTTCCAATTCTTCATTAAATCCCCTGAAGAAGGACGATCGACTTGTCCGTCCGAAATATCGGGAAAACTCAAGTCGCTTTTCTCTTCGCTGTTTTGTCTAAACAACAGGAAACCTTACCCGAGTATATTTAAATTATTTCTGCCACATTATAACATAGACAACTAGAGCATCTTTTTGCCACTATCACACCCATTTCTAGTCTCCCTCGCAGCCTATTTTAGTATCGTCACGCAACGCTCCTCCCCACAAACGGCCGTTTGTGGGGAGGAGCGTTGCGTGACGTTACTAAAAAAGGCTGCGAGGGAGACTAACCCATTTCCTTTTGACTATAATGATACTTATGGGGTGGACACGGGACCTATGAAACATTGGCTAGCCTTCCTTAACAACACCAACCCCCATTAAAACCCCAGCAAATCCTTTTTAACGACAGAGCACTAGGTATTTACTCCAACCAAAAGGAGATTAACTACATCTCACCTTCCAATATTAGAGCCAGTATTGAAACCTGCCCTGCCCATGCCAGTTACATAATTTACTCCAATTGTCTCTCCCCCCCCTTCTATGCCCGACATTTTATGGGTCTTCCCTCCCCCACCCCCCAAGGTACTCGAGGTTTCTGCGATACACGTATTTTTAGTAACATGGACAACTACAGCATCTTTTTGATTAACGAAAAGAAAAAGCTGCAAGACTAAGAAAACGTTCGCAGCTTCCTACACCGCAAGGTTATCCCCCAAAACGGGCAATATAGTTACCTAACCTTAGAATAAGAACGTGTACTGGATAAAAAAAATGCCTCTACCTCGACTCAGTTCAGAGTTTCCCGTGTAGCTTTCTGGCCCATTTGTGGTCACTTGAGTGATAATTTTTTCCACTGTTTTGTTAGGAGTATACTGAGAGCAAAGTAATGGAACATATCACAGCGACGAGGGCTTAGAAACCTTGAAGACCTTGAATAAAGTGAGTTAAGCTACTTTGGGTTAAATCGCTATTTCCCTTCAATCCTATGTTCCCATAAAGATCAGTTTTAGTTTATTTCGACAGTTGTGAGGAGCCAGGTGTAGTTAGAGGTGCCAATATAATCTAAAATTTACTACGTCAGTCATCAAAGCTCTGTCTTTAAATTCGGAAATTTTCTTGCAGAAGTGTTTTTATTGAAAGTAGCCAAATTAAGATATCAGTGACAAATTATTCCGTAATATTACTTGGTGCGAAATTCCTGCGTTAATTTATAATTTCACCAGGGAAATTGAACAAAAAGTCTTAATATTCTTCAGAAAACAGTTGACTACATGATTGGGCAGTGTTGTGGCCTCCAAATACTTTCTACGTGTTTCGAACACTTAAGTACAATGTAAATGACACTAATGTAATTTGCATAATTCGTATTTTTATACCACTACATAAGAAACTTCTGCAATTTGATTGGCTTAGAGCAGTGGTAAATCAGCTTAATTTGAAATACCTACATGTGAAAATGACAAACCTTTTGTCGCCTAATGGCTCGTGAAATTACGTCTAACAATTTTGAAATATCACTCGTGGTATTTATGCCAAATATCACTACAAATCATGCTATTACCCATACAAATTCCTGTATCAACCCGCCAGATAATAATATTGTTATGTTTAGCACCTTTAAATCTCTCGTACATAAAGGTAGCTCTATAACTCTACTGACGTACTTATACAAATATCACTTTAATTAAATGGACCTTTTTCCTTATCTCTAATAACATTTGTGCTAATTTGCTTTGCAAGTCTTTGTTCCACTGTGTGCTCGAAAAAGTTCGCTGTTGTTAAAATTTAGTTGCACCAAGTTTGCTATTCCTCGGCACCAAGAAGGCATTCATGTTTAAAAATGATGTTACGGCGTTAAAAACGCTGAAGGAAAAGGAAAAGCAAAGTTATGAACGGCAAGAAGGGTTGTAACCGGATTTATTTTTTTCAAGAGAGAATGAATAAGCTACTAAGCTCAATCTCTCTTGAGAAACGTCTATGTAATAGTTAGAAAGCGCAAATCATTCTTCACGGCTGCGAGCGAAATTAGTCACCCATGAAAGAAACTGGTATATCAAATGTATACTCGATGAAATAAGTACAATCTCGTCACCATTTGAACATATACTTATTAATTAGGCTGCTTTGAACGGGGCTGCCCCGAGCTTGTACTTTGAGCCAGGGGCACCCAACGTCAATTTTCGGAAAATATCTGTTCGGAAGAAGATTTGAGATATAGAATTTTCGGAACATTTGTTGTAAAATTTCTTGCTTGCCTGCCTCTCCTAGGATTTTCGAACATCTAAAAATGGTATAATTGCCCATTTTTAACGGATTTTTACTTTAAAAAGGTCACCTAAACTTTTCGGGAGCCTTTTTTCTGGCTGAAATTTTCGAAAAAGTAAGGGTTGATCTCTATAATTTTCGGATCACTAGACTTTCAGCTAGGAAATCCGAACAGATGAAATATTTTGGGGGGATAAAAATACGTTTAAATACTAAAATACGTTTAACAATGCTATGTTTAAGTGGTTTTGAACTATATTCTCGTTGCGTGCCCCTGTTTCAGCCGCTTCATCTCAGAATGAAAAATAACTTAATGACGCGGAACTAATCCTACAGTCTTTTCAAGGGTAATATAAGCTCATCTTTTACTGTTATAACACCCTTCTTTTCAGTATATGCTTCAATATGTTCTTCGTTTCATTTCACTAATCGTTCGTCTAGGTGCGTTGTGGTATTATGCCCACGTTCATCTTGCCAGCGGCTTTGCTGATATTGGTGAGTAGCTTTGGCCCATGCCAAAGACTTTGCAGTCACACCTGTATAAATACTGCAAAGTCACAGATTACTTAGTTTACTTTGCTACATCATCATCCAAAAAGTTAACAGTATATGCTTAACGCAGTGAAGTTAATCGTTATCTCTGTTACTCGAGAGAATGGTGGGTGTGTGCTAGGACGAAGAGGAGGCAATATACTGCTTTTCAAAGAAGTGAGGCGATTTCGGACGAATTAACTCTATGTTCAATCAGGACTTAAAAGAGAAGAAGGCTTAACCAATGGAAACGTGAATGTAGTTGCATCTGTCGAGTACAGTTCGAGTGTCTACTTTAGAAGGAATGCTAATGGCAGGTAATCAAGCCATGGTGTGACCATTCTAATGAACGCTCTTCGCTGCATTTTTGCATGCATAATTATGTTTGCGTAGTTAATTTGAATTTTGGGATTTAGGGCACTTTTTGGAAGTGGAAGACGGTTGTTTACCGATCAATGATACCTCCAAATATGGCCCTAATGCTCTTAGGGTCAGGCAAGGATATAAACTTTTTTTGAGAAAAAAAAATCGAGCTTGATACTGCTTCCAATTGTTTAAAATTTATAGATTTCTACACGCTGACGACAATAGGGGCCGCGTTGCTTGAAATTTAACGTTGGACGTAACCGCTTATGTCGGAAATTCATTCCAGTTAAACTCATTAGTTTATAACGCTTGAAGTTAAAAAATTGCGTCAAGTTATGCAGCTGTGACCCCTGGAGACTTCGGTAATAAGCGCAATTTCTCGAACGTTCGTGTTGTTAGTTCTTGGACGTAGATAATGTCAAAATAACCATAATACACATAAAAGTGACCAACGAACCGTTAACACTGAACAGTGGATAACCGTCTTAGTGCACGCTAAAATGAGTCACATTTAAATTTTTTATTATCCATGCACCACATACTGATATTAAATATCGTGAACCATATTTGTGTTGTAGTTAAATTTCTGTTTACTTTGATTTCCAGGTTACTATTTTAACCGAAGTCATTCAGCCATCAGTTGAACGAGCTCCTGGAAAACGCGCTGACGAATCTGGAATAATGCAGCCTAGAAAAACCACATCGAAAACGAAACGTGAACTGAGAAACAAGAACCCAAAAGACGCATCTGCTCTCAATAATATCAGAAACAGTAGCAGCCTTTCATATACGCAAAGGAACTCCAAAGTCTTAGATCGTGCCAATAAAAGCAAATTACACCTTAAAAGCAAGTCGTCGTCAGGTAAGCCTCAAGTGAAACGTCGATCTTCCGGACATTTTTTGACATGGAATCCATCCTACGGAAGAGATGGCATGAACCCTTGCGTGAGGAGGATTAGAAAAACCTACCACAGTGAACTCAACACAATACTTACTGATTTTGTATGCCGCCGTGCGACTCTCTACTGTAGTCCAAAATCAGGCGGCGCCGGGAAATGTATGCCTCTTAGAGCGTTTATTACACGTATAAACAAGGTTTTAACAACTGGTTGTACATGCCGCCACTAACACAACAAATGTAGGCCGAGTTGGTCAAGGACTGGTGAGCTCTAATCCTAAGCTAACCACAAAAAGATCATATGAGAAGTGGAGGTTGTCCTGGATTTCGCGACTTTTGTCGTCTAGTAAACAAAGAGAAACATTAGACAATATCGTCTAATGTGATATTAGATGATATTGCGAGTGAGAGCACCCGACCAAATTTACGGAGCTTAAGCAATGATAGGCTGTACACAGTCCCCTGTTTTTCCGTAAGATTGTCAGGGTCGAGTGCTTTCCAACACGAGGAGCCATCTTGGTTTCTTATGTACCGAGTGGGCGGATATCTGGATTTATAGCGGTGGGGAGAGGGGAGTCTCCTCTCAAACCGTTCCCCGCCCCCTAAGTAGATTTAAGAACTCATTCCCAAGCTAGACTTGGAACATCTGAAACCAAGATGGCCGCCCTTAACGCAAAGTGCTCGATCTCGACGATGTCAGGAAAAAATAGGGGACGGTGAACATTCTAAAACACGCAACGCACGTCAACCGGAAGTGGACTTATTGAATTCTTGGGAAGTGGTTTTGCTCATAGTTTAAGGCAAATCGTCTCTATAAGAGTCTGAGTGGCCAGTCTGAGTAATTGTCGAGAGTCGAGAGTAACAAGTCAATAGTCGAGAGTACTAAGATCTACTAAGTCGAGAATCGAGAGTGATATGTCGAGAATCTAAAGTATTAAATAGTTATAATCCTGATAATTAACAACAATAATAATAATTTGTGTATAATTGGTAAAAAATAATATATTTCGCCATGTTCCCTGAATAATAGCAGTGAGATGCACTTTATTAATGCTAAAGCATAAAGCAAAAAAATTTCACAAGTTCCAACACGATTTATTAAAGAAGCTAACAAATTCCATCCGACAATAAAGTTCACGGCCGAAATATGTGAGAACGAAAACAATAGTAAAAAGAGGTTTCATTAAAGGCGAAGCAATAACACAATAAGATTACTGAAGACAAACTCCTCAAAAACATTTAAAGAGTGCTTTGCGAACTTTAAACAACGTCTCGAAGCACGCGAGATATAGAAAGGTTGTTGTCAGAGGTCAGCTTTGTCTTATTATAAGACAATCGGCGCTAAAACAAAAGCAAAAAAATATAGATGGACTATTTTCTTTCGTTACAACATATCACCCAGTGGTACAAGATCTTAAAAAGACACTGATGGCAAACCGGAGTCAAATAGAAAATCGGCCTCTGCTGAAAACAATTTTTAAAAGACCTCTGATCATATCCTACAAAAGAGGTAAACATCTAAAAGCCAAGCTTGTAACTTGAAGGCAGTTGCCGGATAATGCCAGTGGCGGATCTAGGGGAGGGTCCTGGGGGGCCGCCCCCCCCCCCTCATTTTTAGACCAAAATGAGGCCCGAAGGGCTGAAAAAAAAATTTTTGAGGCCGCCCCCCCCTTATCTCAGGGTGTGGAGGAGTATATCTTCCGTTGCGCCCAGGGGCGAGTTTGGAGACCATCATGACAAATCAGCTTCGAACTGAGGGCATAATACTGTGGAACTGCGATATAACGAATGCCAAGGGACTGACAAAATTTGGTTCGCTATAACGAGGTTTCGTTATATCAGGGTATATAATGGGCTCCTGGTTAGATCGAAGTCCTTTTTCATATATTTTACTATTACTGGGCAGTGCCGGATCCAGGGGAGGGGCCTGGGGGGCCCAGGCCCCCCCCCGTTATTTTTAGACCAAACCGCCACTTCTGGGAAAGGGAAAATCGTTCGTTGGACCGAGGTTCCACACAGCAAAGGGCGTTTCACCATTTTCTTAATGCTACCCGTAAAAACCAAAACAATTCAAGACTTGAACGATCGTGCAGCTAGTGACGACGCTAGTGCCGATACATGATGCCAACTGGGGGGTCATGACAAAACCTCTTCACGAATAAGAAGTTACCAAAATTTAAAATAATGTCGATAATTAAAACAAATGAATGCATTTCGATGCACTTCTGGACATAAGGGCAAACTTTGGAAGCGTAGAATTGACCACTCCAGAAATACCATTATATACCGATGATAATGCTCTTTGTTTGTCACTCCAAAATTTTGCATAAGCATTGTCTTCAGTGTCTCTTAAGAGTTAAAATGGCCCCAGAGAAACTGAAAAAGATGCCTATGCAAAATGTGGGGTGACAAACAAAGAGCATTATGGTATGTTATGGAATTTTCTAGAGTGGTCAGTTGGAACTGAGTGAAGCAATTTCAAAATGGTAGCTGTTGGGCAGTATTTTCAAAGACTCGGAAATCGCAGCAAACAAAGGCAAACAAAAAGACACTATGGAAATCAAACGCAGAAACAGGGAAAGAAAAGTAAGATATCATTGTTTTGTTATTATTATTATTATTATTATTTCATTTTGAGCTAACTCACTATGCTGTTTGCTTGAAAAAAGCCGCTCCTGGAGTTGTGTCGATAACCCGATACTCCGTGCGTAAAAACTCGCTTCCGTTTTAGTTCCACTTTTAGGGCTTTGAGAACCAGGAATTGCTTGAATTCAATAATTAGAACCCGCACGAGCTTATAATAGCTTAAGCGTATAACGACCTTTAAATACCACTGTCTTTCCTTTCAACGCTACGAGCTGGTTCGATGGACTCCTTGAAACTTATTACAGCGTCAGCCATTTCAAGGAATGGATTGAGTAAACCACAAGTTAGAAGATTTCAATAAGTTTCTTATTTATTGAATAATGAAACTAGAAATATGATACCAGAGTATAAGCTACAACTTACTTTTAAGTAAAATTGTAGATATTTTGAAAAAATATATATTTACAATTTAATTATAATATTTTTACATCCTATCTGGTAATCCCCTTGGGAACTTAAATATTCTTAATTTCATATGACCTTGGCAAAAACATCAATAAATATTATATAACATGTAGGATAGCATCAAAAAGATGTTATCTGAACAAAGTTGAGTATTCAGATCACTCAGAATCAAAAGAAAGTAAAAAAATCTTGGAAAAAGAGCTTTTACGGCGATAAAATTCTCTCAGTATTGAACTTACTGTCTCGCTATATATTACACCGCACGCAGAAAATTTCGTGAATAAGTTAAGTTCAGTGACCCTTTAAAGACAAGTTTCTGTATTCGTGACGAATCAGAGGTTTCAATTGGTTTTAGCCTTACTCTGGTTTGTTTAAATAGTTGACATCGAAAAAAAAACTCAACTGAGTGACAATTTAGTAAGTTACATAAGTTGAACAGTTATTTAAATACTTGCCGAATCTTCATAAATTGACGGTGTGGCTGAAATACCATCGCAAATAGCAGAGACCGTCAAACGAAATCAAACGTCACTTAACAAAAAATACTTCCCTCAGTTCCAAAACTAACAAAGGTTCAAAAGAAGCAAAAGTCCTGTATGGACTACATGGTCATCACATAGTGATGAAAGTTATAAATTACATAGATTACGAATTAAAATTATCAATTTGGTAAGCATAAATTATAGAAATTTCTATTCTTTGTTCCGAAAGTGGAGAACCCCTCTTTGCTCATGCGCAGGAGCAACTCGTTGCTACCAAACAAGAGGCATTGTTTTTTCCGAACATCACTGAATAATTTCGTTTGCATTTTGGTGGAACCCGATGTAAAGCACATCCAATATGGCTTGACTTACAGCTAACTTCGGATTGGTATCTCCCAAGACACCTGTTGAATTTATAATGTACTCTCTCCAAGCAAGGTTGCGAACGTCTGACTCTGAGGCGGTATAAAATGTCCCGGATGTTTGTACGGTTAGTGTTGTCGTATCCTTCAAACGTTGATGTTTTCTTTTTGAGTAACTCCATCGATAACGTATTGGTCGCTGTATCGGCTGTGCGAGGATGCCCACCGTCTGGTTGCTGACCTGTCTTAACAGGGCTAAGCAGAACTTCACTGAAAAGCCAACTTTGTATAAAAAAGTATACTGCAAACTGGAAAAAAATATATAAAGTTTTAAGTTTGGTTAATATGTTTAATTTTCGTACTTTCAACTTTTCTCAAAATTCAGTAAAATACGTTTATTAAAGAATCTGAAGCAAAAACTACTTCAAGGAGAGAAAGATTCAGGAGATAACACCCCAGGCACAGGAAACTCAGAGCTGGAGCAAAACAAAAAACTGACTCTCATTCTCAAAGGACGTAACAGTTATACCCACTAAGAAAAAGTGTTTCTATTTCTGTGTCAGTTTGTCACGATTTTAGAATACTACCGTTAAGTCTTAAACCACAAAATGTCCTTCATCGTGGAAAGTTATCATTTACATGAAAGCTTTTAATCTATCTGGTGCAAGCTTCAAGTTCAAAGGATGTTTTCGCCTAATAGCCGTGGGCGATTACCTCAAAACTCATTATATTCAGAGCAAATTACTATTAAAGTATCTTAGTTTTGTGCGAGATTTGAACAAAAAAATGGTCGATTTAAACCTATTTAGCTCAATAATTAGTGGTTTTTCTTGATCTAAGTTTTCAGAAAAGTATTATTCCCGAAAGATCAGGATATACTGGTCATCATTTATTCATAATCAACCCACACATACCTTCATTGTGATGCTTTTTTCCATGTCGATGAATAGAATCAGTCTCTGCGTTCTTCTAACGTCTGCTTTCGATAAAGGTAGGTATTTTTTGTTGCAGTTTTTTCTTCTGTTAGAATTTTTTCGTTTTCCTCTTACCTGTAGCTCGAACGGATAGACTGCAATTCGTTTCTCTTCACTATAAAGTTGATTTGTGAGTTTCTGATCTCTGCAGGACCGCTTTTATAGACCATATACGGAACAAAACGGAGTTCTTCATTACATCGCCGTCTAATTTTGGATTTGTTGTAATGTGAATAATAGGCATTCACTTTGCTTGCACACGGCATAAACGGAACCATTCAGCGTCACGCCCAACTGTAGCAAAAGCGGGCAATTTTTGTAAGCACAATCGGAAGGCTGAAAGAGCGTACGCCCTTCTTCTTTTGTAATCTTTATAGAGTTCTTTTTTCAAGGATAGGTTTCTCAGCTATGAATTTACTATAACCGAAAAGTAAATTAACCTTAAAACAGTAAGCGTATCAATTGATTAGTTTAACGGCCCTCTCATTTTCATAGTACACTATATCCGCATTGCGTGACTTGTGATATGTCGTTTATCGGTTGGGACCGGACGTTTTTTTTTTTCTTTACTTATATTTCCTAAGTACGTTAATATACGAGCTGAGAATTCGAAGCTGCCCAGGAATAGCTACTTAGGGTAAAAACCTTGTCGATTTTTTATGCAACTCGTCATCATTTGTTGAATTTTATGAGAAGGTACGGACTGACGAGATTTGATACAACAAAAATAGAAACTCGAAGTTGTTGTTTTTTTTTTTCAGTATCATTTCTCAAAGATTTGCGGTTTTATTCGTGCAAATCAATTCAAAACGATGAGCAAAGTCTTTTTTTTCTATTCTAACTTTGGAGAGTGTTTCGATCCTTCATCTTTAGTTACAAGTCAGTACGTTACAAAATTAGTATCAGTTACTATTAAAATTTCCAATAAGAACGTGCGTTACAATCTGAAATAACGTTTCAGCTATAAGAAGGGAAGAAACGAGAATGCTTGAACGGTGAGCTCATATTACGACAACAGCATAAAGGCACAAAATCTAGACGAAAAATGTTATTAATAATGGTTGAAGTAACAAAAATAATAACTAAAAATTCAGAAAGTCAAAACCTAGATATGTATATTTTTACATTGATGTGGCACATTTATCGTTTTTTTGTTGTTGTTGTTACTTTTTTTTCCGTAATTTTTATTATGAATATTTGCTATGCGTTTATTCATGCAGTAGGAAGTTGTTTAACATATAAGTGACGTACTTCCGGGTTTTCCTTATTCCTCCCCAATTCTTTGAAAGAGGAAGACAATGCGGAGCTCCTTGATCATCTAACAACGAACTTATTTCAACACGCATTGATGTATAAAAAAATGTTTGAGCGGATTTTCATTTGTAAAGATCAGCCTTGCTTTGTATTTTACCCTTTCAATCCTTGGGGTCATCATCTGTATTCAATAATCTCGTATACCCAAGGAGGGGAGGCGTTATTTGTGACCATAACTGCATTTCGATTTTAACAGCCCGATTCGCATTTGCTTACCGTGGAATGGAATATGAACTTGACCTTAACATGGGACATGGCAAGGCAATCCTCAATTTATCATTTTACGAAGTAGGAAATTTGTTTTAAGTTGGTTTTTAGCATTCTTGGAAATCCATTTCTCTTCCGCGTCGGAATGATCCCTTACAGAAAACCATTGGCAATACCAATGTTGTTTCCTCTGAGATATAATCAGTTATGTACTAGTATTCCTCTAAGAATTGAGACGGGTTACTGAAAATGACTGATACCTGGAACAATAACAGCATCAGTTGACCTTGTCATCCCTACATAGCTGTGAAAAATTTGCAGTTGTTAAATTGTCCCTAGTACTGTATTTTATGTGCTTTTGCGGATGAAATTAGAACTTGATCATTCTTTAGCAATATTCGCACGACACGAATTTCGTGTTGAAACTCAATCGAATGTCACTAGTTTCGTGACAGCCTGTTTACTCAGAGAGTTAAACACTAAATATAACTTATTCTTCGAATGTTTGCACTTTCCCTATTAAATCGGTAGTCAAATCTGTCAGACTGAAGGAGTCATCGAAACGTCATGGAACTGAAATATGGTCGATAATATTCTTGAATTAATCCTGACTAGTAGAACATATTCAGCAACTAGGTTGTACTTTGAAATCGTGCTTTATTACAGCAACTGGATTCAGTGGATAATGGCACTTAAAACACAAAGGCAATTTTATCGTGCAAATACCCGAAAGCCAGTATAGCCCACGGGATAAGAGTGGTTTCGCTGCACTGGAAGACCGTGTTTTTGCCAGGGCAACTCCATGGTAACAGGTTTACAATCTTGGAGGATTTTAACTGTATTGTACTGTAGTCCTATAATTCGAAGCTCTTTTCAGTTACCGTGAAAACCGGGAGTTACTTAAACAACGCAGGCTTCAGTCCAAGGTTTTCTCGTCACAAAGACAACCCAAATGATATTCAATTCCACTCAGCTTTTCGCGTGGAATCTGAGATCGTAAGGCACATAAACTCCCCGTAATGTACTGCCTCGGGGATAGACACTCCCAGAAAGTCTGGGTGGAGGTATCCGGTATCACTTATTGAACCCTGGTGCAGCCCTACTTAACACAAAATTTCCTCCTATCCAAGAACCACTTAAACACTTAGAAAATGTCTTCAAATTCTCACCACACCTCTCGAGAAATGAATTACGTAACTCGAAAGCAGCGTCGTGATGATCAAACTTAAATGTGCCCCGAACCTAAATCAGGGCTACGTGAATGCATGTGTGATTTCTGAGATTCTGTAGATTAAGAAGGTCAAATTGGTGGCCTTTCATGGTAGTTTCCTTGTCACTGAATCGTGTCTAGTCGTTTTAATCAATTAGGTTTTGTTCCAGTGTACGGATGTCGCCCCATGCTCAGAAAAATTTCTGTTTGATTGCTTAAATTTGTTTTCCCCCTCTTTATCTTTCAACAATTTGACATTCAACTAAGAGGTAACTATCCTAAAGCATAATTGTGTCAGTAAAGAAAAATTAAGTGTACTTTCCTTCTGTTGGTATAGTGTTTTGTTTTAACGATTAACGCTTGCTCTTTGATTCACACGTGACCTTAAGTGAAGGACAATATAACTGAATATAAGCTGACGTGCCTCTTCTTCCACTTCCTTGGCTTAAGCGGAAACGGAAATCGAACTCTATTGCGCACAGGTTGTGGCTTTTTCATCATCTGACCCCTTTTTCCGTTTATCTTGTTAATTGCAAAAAAAGAACTGGTTTCATTGGAAATTGAAACACTGACGAGAATCGACAAAAAAAAAACTAAAAAAGTCTACAATAAAGTTTTTCCCCTTCTTTGGTTAAGTCAATTTCGTGGCACAAAGTAAACGGCAGATCGGCGGAAAAACAGAACAAGCGCAGCAAGTTGAGAACCAGAGATCGAGACAAATTTATCACTCGATGTCGTGTCAGCATGCAAATTTTCGGTCGATATTGGTGGCCAATGGAATAAGCCAACGTTTATGCTTCCTCGCTCTCTTAAGGAATTGCTTTCTTCTGGGTACAGAACAGGCCAATAAAGGAGCCATCGGCAGCTTTTGTCTTAGAGAAATTAAGGTTCTTGTATAGATATACTAACATTTGTATGCGATTTAATGAACGTTAGTATTGTGAATGAACGCACACACTTGGAAGCTATTGTTTAGTGGTCCTTCAAGCAAATCATTGCAGAGAGTTCCGTATGCCCAAACTGGCCTGATGCTCAATTGCTCAAGCAAGTTTGTTGAAATGGTCAGCGGCATACATAGGATAGAAAGCAGTGGGACCTACAATCTTGGAACAGCAAACCCCCATCCACCCAAATCAAGGATGAAGCCGCGCGAAGGGCAAAAACGCGCCATTTTCCCGTCCTTGATTTGGGGGAAGGCGAGGTCTCGGTTTTCCATTTTAGGCACATCGCCACCTGTAAGCGAATGCGGATACCGGAATCCAAGAAATTTTTGCTCAATTATGGAATCCGGAATCCGAGAGACATTTGCTTGTGAAATCCGAAGTCTTGTTAAAGTACATCAATTACAATTAAAAAATAAATCAGATTAAGTTATTTACAATTATGCAATATACAATTAAAAATAGAAGCAGGATTAACAGAATCGAAATTGCAGTAAAACTAACTAATCACTCTGTACTCTAGATCTGTTACATATTAAAAAAATCCTTGAAAGTCTTAAAAAGGTTCTGTAATCTTTACAGTTTCTAATAGTTTCTGGTTTGTTGTTAAATAGCTTCGACGCATCATCTTTGAAAGTGCCGTTTTAGTTCGTTTTCGGTCGGGACCACTAATCTAATTGAATTGCTTGAGCGAAGTTCCTTGGGGCATTCCTGTTTTATTATTTTAAGATAATCTGGCCAAGTCTCAGTGTTATGCAAAGCTTTAAAGCACGATTTCAGGAGGTTCAAATCTCTTCTCTCATTGATTGGAAGCCATCCGATTTTACGTACATCCCGAAAGTTCTTAACATAGTGACCGAGTACAAAACTTGCGGCAGCAAATTGAACTTCGTTGCAAACGTCGAAGTAAAAATTGTGGTAGAGGGTAAAAAACTAGATCGGCATAATCTAGTTTTGACAAAATCAATTTTTGCTGCTAGTTGCTTTCTAAGCTCGTATTTAGGGAGACATTTCAGTTTTCTTAGTATTGATAGAGTGGCGTAGCATCCAGATACCGTGTGCTTGATGTGATTGTCTAAAAGGCTTGTTTTAGGGATAGAGAATCTGTTAGAGCATTTCACAGCAATGTTTACCCCGTTTACCTGCCAGTCTGCAAGCCTGCAGTCTACGTTTATCGCACACCGATTTCAAAGGAGTTTTCACAAGGGTTCACGAGAACCACTTTAAACAACGTGTGCTTTATTTTTTCCCCCATAACCGACACTCAAATGTGAAAACATCTCCCCAACCAGTTTTAAGCTAAAGCCTACTTCTTCTCTATCCGTCGTTACGCAAACGGTGACTTTTGAGTGGTCGTCATGGTAACATTAAGGAAGAGCGGGCCACCCTTCGTTGATTACAGTCGAATAATACAAAAAGGTTTTGTGCAAAGAGGTTTTCAAATAGCACTAAATCTTGATAGAACTGAGAAAGACCCCTTGGCATCGTTATTAATCAAGTCGCCTCTTTAATGATCCGAGAAAAAGAAGGAACGTTTAAAGTCGATTGTAGTACCAAATGGCACATATTTTGTACATATAAAAATAAGCACGCTCCCTTTTCATTGGTGGGTTGAGAATGTTTTATCTCGTGTTTCTCTAGAATGTTAGTTTTTCCTCTTAAAATTCTCGTGTATGCTCTAGCTTATTTTCATTGCCTACAACTAGCGGAAATCGTTCAGGATTTTGCAATGCAAATTATAGACTTCTGGTAGTAAAGTGTCGGATCGATGACGCGCCGCAAAAGTTGAAGTGGTTTAATTGAAAGTGCGACATCAGCTAAACGAATCAAAGAGAAAATGCCGCTCATACTTCTTCAGCACAAATAAATTTTCTTCAGCAAATGACATTTAAACATTTCTGAACTATATATCCCCCTATCTTCAGGTGATCTCCATCCGCCATCTTTGGAGAAGGTCCTTCTACATGGGGGTTTCCCAGCCATAATTTATAATAATTGCCGAGGATCGATGTCATTTTATCCTCAAATTCCCTGAAGACTTTAAATTCGGGACCAAACATACTACAAAATCATCACCAAGAAATTAGACTACGAGAAGAGAGAGACTGTTCGCAGTCTATCAATAAATGGAATCTTGTAAGGAAAACTTCCCGTGTGAATAATCACCAGATGGCCTTACCTTGAGAAGACTTAGATATCGCTAGCCTCCCACGCAGACGTTGCAGGATCGCTTGAAGAACCACTAAGAACAGCTGCGTTGGAGAACCACTATAGAAATATAATACTTGCTTTTACTTAAATTGCCATTCCAAGAGCCGAAGACAACCAACCTTCTACCTTTTTTTCAAGGAAGAACTAAATATCAATTGAAAACAAACGATTACAAATTTCATCCTGTTAAAAATGCTGAAATAAAATGGCGCAAAATGTGGAGCCACCAAAGAGCCTTCAAATGAAGAGTTTTCCCGAAGTCTCACGTAATGATGTTGTTGAAACGTCGTGTGTTTTTTGATCTCTCGTTTCAGTTTCAAATTTGGCCATTTACAGATTCATCCCGGTCCAGTGCAACAAATTAATGTCATTATTTCACTATTACTTTATTGTTGTCTTTAAAGTCTCCTTTGAAACTAGTGCCTTTGTCTTTTCAATTGAGATATATACTTCTCAAACTCATCAATAATTCATTAAGAAAATACAAAGGAAATTAATGTTTAATGAGTGTTTGGAAATCGGATGAAACACTGCTTAGTATTTGCATCCTTAATTTCTCCTTCAAAAATGATTTTGTTTGAGAAGAAATATCAAACATTCGACACAGTGTTTCATCACCAGATGAAACACCTCGAAGTTCGTCAAAAATACTCCGCTGCGCGTCGTATTTTCAACTCTCTTCTCGGTGTTTCATCTGGTGATGAAACACTGCATCTCATGTTTGATATATTACTTCTAAATACACACTCTTGAACGATTAAACTTACGTCACTTTGAAATACGATAAACACATCTCAGTTTATATATACTTTTTGAATCGAAAAACGTTTTAGTGGGGCCACGAGACTCAATTAACCAACGTCATTTGTCATCAGCTTTTAATGAGTGCACGCCTTTTAGTAAGTGGCCACGCAAGGTTACTCACAAAAAGAGGAAGTAGAATAAATTGCATATACGTAAATATTATTCCTGGAAACTGTTCCAAAATTAAGCGAAAATTCAGGCTAAAACCTGATTCCCTGAGTCAAAGAAGGGTCCCCATCAATGCTAAGAGTAGCCGATCAAGGTCTCCATCTCCAGCACTAAACCTAATCGTTATTATATAAAAGTCCTTTTCTCCATCCCATCGAAAGCACAAGTTAGCGGCACCCAACGTCAATTTTTGGAAAATATCTGTTCGGAAGACGATTTGAGATCTAGAATTTTCGGAATCTTTGTTGTAAATTTCTTGCTTGCCTGCCTCTCCTAGGATTTTCGAACATCGAAAAAATGGTACAATTGCCCATTTTTAACGAGTTTTTACCCTAAAAAGGTCACCTAGAATTTTCTGGAACCTTTTTTTCTGACTGAAATTTTCGAAAAAGTAAGTTTTGATGCCTATAATTTTCGGATCACTAGACTGAAAAATTTTTAGGGGATAAAAATATGCCTATATCTAAAATACGTTCAACAATGCTATGTATAAGTGGTTTTGAACTATATTCTCGTTGGGTGCTCCTGGACAGTGGAGTCTCGAATTCTCGAACTCTCAGTTTTTTCGAAATTCCCGCTAATTCGAACCAAACTTAACTTCCCTTCGACAGTCAAACACTATAATCAGTTTACGCCAGTTCTTTCAAACCTCCCGATAATTCGAATTGAATTTGCTTTCCCCAAGGTGGTTCTTTAAAAGGGATTCTAGTGTACTTTAAATCATCTCGATCATATTCATTTCCGGTTGAGTAATACTAACTCTAGTGTCAAACAGTGTGAATAAAGTGCATCTTACTTTACTGGGTACAAGAGTTCCCGTGATTCGAGCACTCCACTCAAACAAAATGGGAAAAAGCTTGAAAGGCATTTTGTGTGGGCGATCTCAAGAGCTACCATATGGTGATGAAGGACACGTTTATAAATTCACAAGGGTGATGCGTTAACCATTGTTAAAGCAAGCTGCGAAGTGTTCGAGCCGGCCTCTTCAGCACAAAAAACAGGATGCAAAATAGGAACTTTCTACCTCAATGCGTAAGTTAATTATGTTTCATTTGGTACTCTTTCATTGTGATTAATTTCTCTATGATATCAGTTGAAAGAAACAGCAACCCGCGGATATGTTTGTTTGTCAAAAGCCAGGTAACAACACCTCTAACTAGTTAAAAACTGTTTTTTCTTTTGAAGTTGCGTTTTCTTCCTTTCCAGGAGTTTTTCTTTTTTTTAATTCTCTTTTTTCATTTTAGTTATAACTATTAACAGATAGAACTTCTGATAATTTTGACATATTTTATAGAAACAACATCATTTCATCTGGTTGTTTGGACTGAAAAAGCAGAGTTAGTGCATTAAGTTCTTTTGATTCTGTAGAAGGCTTTTATAAAAAATAAAATAAAACAACCTGACGAAAATTTGGATTTTTTTTTTTTATCAGAAAGAGACTGAAAGGCCGTTTTTTAACGCACCTTTTATATTCGCTAGCAGGATTTTCTTTTCTTTCTTACTCCATTTACGTTACGTGAAAAACCTTTCCTTTCCCAAACAACAGGTTACCGTGTTACTTCTTTGCTTACGTGCTTCTACCGCCATCCCCATTGAAGATGACGCGGATCGCTCACCGCTGCCCGGTAATACCGGCGCATCGCATTTAGCAGCTGAACACCTGCTTTCCGATTGGAAGGAAAACACAGTTGACACGTCACGTGATGAAAATGTCGCCAATGAGAAGAAAACAACCAGCCAGCAGCTTCAGAACCAAGCAGAGCTATATACAGAAGAGAGAAGGCATGAAGGCTCTTGTGTGGCAAAGCACTTTTTTGAGTTCTGCGATGGTATGTGGGTTAAAACGTATGAGTGTAAAGACACCAGTTTCACGGCATGTCATAATTCCATTTCTACGTATGGCACCAGAAAATGCGATCCTAAGATCACATTCTATCCACAGTGTAAAAAAACATTTATAACTGCCTGTGTTTGTGCGTAAAAACTTTGAAGCTCAGGGGTTCTATAATATGTAAACTAACAGACAATTGTGCTGTCATTAAACTGGTCGTGAAATTTGTTTATTATTCATTAAAACTATGAAAAACTGAATAACTATTTGAGTCACATGTACACTTCTGTAAGCCTCAATAAAAATCACCCGTGTAGGTACACCCTCATCAGCCTCGTCCCTAGGGACGAGGTTGCATCCTCATAGGCCATAGAGGTATGTGCCCATAGTTTTGGTCTGGAATAGGGTATGGTGTTTCGAGGGAGCTACGGGAGTGTTCCGCCTCTCCCTTTTAAACAAGTTTTATTACGACATTTTCCATCTATATAACATTGTAATTCCTATCTTAAATTCAGTAACATCTGCCAGCCTGAAGAAGGCTGGTATGGCCAGTCGAAATATTGTTATGAAAAAGCAATTTACGTTGTTCTGATCAGCTTTGCAGTAGTCTTTGGACTTCTCGTTGTTTGGTTCTTAATATTTTGACTGATTAGATCTCTTTTCTGGAGATCCAACGTTGACAACCAGCAGGATCTTCGCCCACGGTTTTTGCAGTTTTTTTAACGTTTCAATTCCAAATGAGTATAAAAAAAACATATTAATATGCGAATTCGAAATGGATTTTAAGAAGTCTTTTTGTTCGCGTTCTAGTCTAAGTTATGATGACATTATTTTTTCCTGGCCGGTTCTAAAAACAAGTTAAAAATGACATTTTCTAGGGTCAGGATTTGGAGCTGGAGGAGAAGAAGAATTCCCAGGAGTACCCCTCCCCCTTTCCTCCCCAGTAGCGCGAGGAACTACAGTCATGATTTTTCCGCGCGCGAGGGAAGTAGATATTTGGGGAAAATAGGGCTGACGCCCTTCGAGCGAGACGTAGTCACTGAGCAGACTGAGTACTACTTTGCAAGCTTGATACCCAGCAATGAAAATGTGACGTAACTAATCGGATCTTTGCACGTGCCTGCGCTTGAATCAAACAGCTAGGAATATGTTATGGGGAGAGAAGAAACTCTTCCCTCGCCTCACGATCCTAGAGCATCTCAATCACTTTTGGAAAATAATATACCCATTCTGCCGACAGACCATTTCCCCACATCAACATACTTTGACTGTATCCTATGAGATTGTAGGAAAGTAGTAGTAGAGTGGTGTGAAATAGAGGTAACGGGGGGGGGAGGGTGCGGAAGAAAAGAAGAGTGAGAAAGGAGACAACAACGTCTTGTTTACCTATTCCCTCCCTGTTTTTTTCTGCTCACTTCTCTCTGCGTCATTCCTACTTGCTGAACAGCTAAAAAAGGCTAATTTCTGCGGTGCACCCCCTCCTCCCCGTGTCTACTAGCCCCGAGGGGCACTGTTATGTATCAAGCCGATATAGCCGGTGATAGAGTATGGCTTTGGGGCTTCTATGCTGTTTGGTACGTGTTACTTTGATAGGGTATCTAAAATCACAAATCTTGACCCGCCTTTGTAAGACTGAGCGAACTGTAAAGAAAGCAATATAATTCAACTGATTTTACTCCGGCTCCAGAGGTCCGTTCTCCAAGGGATGGAAAAACGTGTGCACACGGTTTGATAAAGCTCTCCCACGCAGAAGTTGTTGGAGGTTTGTGGGAGGCTATCTCGGTGTGGCCTTCGCGCCTCGCTGTCGAGACCAGGCTCAATAGGAAAGGAAAAGAAACTTCTGTTATCCAAGGTAGGAAATGGAAAAAGAAAAACGACCCATTCGCAAAGATCCGCGTTATTGGCTGGGGTCATTTTTTATGTTTGTTGTTTAAAAAAGGTCAGCTGAAGAGTGTCAATTTTCAATTATGTTTTCCTTTTAAACAAAAAATATATACGGGGTCATGGTTTTAAAATCTTGATGGCACACGCCTATCCTGCTGAGACTTAAGAGCTTTAAAACGATAAGTCCTAATTTTCAAGACAAATAGAAGTCATTTGAAAAAATAGAATATAGATAGGGTACATAAGAAAAAGGTAGATTTCAATTCATGTTTTAATTACTGATTATATGTAAGATAATGTTGGACTATGAAAACGTTTATAAAATCATCACTCACCCCTTGTTCACACAGAAAATTACCGCAGCTAGCCCAAGCTGTTAGGTAAGCAGTTTTTTTATTAAAATCTTTTATTTTCGTAGGCTACCTGTGTAATTACCTGCTCTGATGATATTACATCAGCCTTGCAAATTGAATATCTGTTTACTTATTGTGGTCAGAATGTCGTCGCGTGTAAAATGTGGTCTGTACTAAAATGGCAAAAACATGGCCCGGGGCCTTTCCCGTCTGCCCGGCTGCATGACTGCCAATCCGGCGCTAAACCGGGGTAGCGTGAAGGAGTAATCTTTTATTCTGCTTGCTGCAATAAAAGCTTTGTAAAACTGTATTGTATTCCAGCCAGGACATAACGGATTGTAATTGACACGCTTCCCAGGGGAGGGGGGCAATACACGGGCGGGGGGGTGGGGGGAGGCGACTCAAAGGATGTTCGGGTAGAGGTGTGCCGCCGAGGACTTCAAATCTTAACCCTGTTAAAAAAAGTTCATTTCGTTCCGGAATTGGCTACCCTGTTTAAGACAAGAGACCTTTTAGTTTATGATTCTGGTTCGTTTCAATTTACACAAAGGCTTAGACTGAGAGGGAATACCCTTTTCCCTTTTTCGCCCTTTTCTCCCCCTCCCCTCCCTTATTTTACACCTGCCCAATTAACCGCCCAAAAGAGTAAAGCCACATACTCCAGTATCCAACAGTACGTTTGAAAAATCAACCCCCTCCCCCCTTTCTTTTAATGCGTGGGCCCACTGTGTGTACCACGACACGAATCGGATGCCAAGCGACCACGTAACAACTTTGCATCAGTCTATTTTTAGCAAAGTATTGTAATCAGTGCACCATTTGTTTTTCCTTGTACAAGGTATACGTAAGGTATAAAACCCGTTGATTCTCTTGTTGGATCATGGAACAGGCTCGAGAAAAGAAACGGACAGGCTCGACATCAACTCAGTCATCCTTGAACGCTGAAGGGACTTCATTGAAGTATGATCAGTTTAACTGCCGTGAAGGTAAGTTGCAATTTTTCTTCATACTGAAAACATTCTGTAAGATTTCATCCAAATCATCCATTTTTCATGCAATCCAGACTGCGTAATTATCAACGATGAATATTTGGGGTGTTCTTGTAAGTTTTTCTCGCACTGCAAAAGTTGTCTGTTCTTTCGCGGGATTCTGTGTGTAATTGTTAGCTACCGCTTTGTTAAAGTGAAAAGTTCGATTGGGAAAGCTAAAGTTGAAAGTTAAAATTATAGTTATGTACCACAAAAACGTATTTGTATAGATCATACAGTTGCTTCTTGACTTTTCACAATTGAATTAAAGCGGCCAAATCAGTGTTTTAAGTTAACGGCTAGCGCGCAAGCGGTGAGGTTGAACCATGACAAAAAACGCAGGAAAAAAATCAATAAAAATCCTAGTTTATAGTTATGTTAAGGTAACAGTATTTCATTTTAATTTTAAAAAAAGTGAAGTGAAACTTTGGATTTCATCCGCAAAATCAAAAATACAGAACTATATTTCACATCTCAGGCACTTCACCAAAGGGTTGACAGAGATATGTGATCTCGGATTAATTTTCAGATCCCCTCATTTTATAATACTTTCTTTTGCGGTAGAGTAAATGGAGACAAATCTGCTATTCTGTATGCTAAGCAGTTTTTCAAAAACTGAAATCAGCAAAACAATAGGAAGTGACGTAAGGTTAAAACGTTTTAGCCTGGCTTTTAATCGTTCTTCAAGAAAATTTTCTTAAAATGAAATGTAGTTTGCTTTTTTTTTTAACTGTGGAGGAATTCCTTTGGACTGGAGTGACCAATATTCAAATGAAGTTTTTTAGTACAGGTGCATTGTTTGATCTGTTAATCAGCGTTTTACAGAATGATTTTGGCGTTGGCCATTTAGATTTGACTTATGTCACTTTAAGAGTTCAATTAAGGTATCATTGAACGTAAAGAAAACATGTTTAAACAAGTTATTACTAAACACCGAAAGGTTTGACCTCCGGAACCCGTCAGTTTCTCAATGCTTCCGTCATCACAGAGAGCGATTAACATGGTCAATTTCCTTTTCAATTTCTCGGGAAAAGGGTAACTTGTGTAAAGGGCACACCTTTCGAATTGTCTATATTTTCAGTGAACGAAACTAGTTCCAAGTCGAAATCCCTCATTGCGGAGAAACATAAAAAAGGTATTTGCCTGTGAAAATATTTATATCTTCCCTTCATGATCGGATCGCAGTCCCAATTATTAGCTGCAGGATTAAAATGAATGGCCTATCCCTAGAGACTATGTTAGGGTAAAATTCCGACATTTAGAGATTTAGAGAGTCACCTAAAAGGAGTAAGGAAGGTAGAAACGGGGCAGGAACTAACTCTAGATGTCCTTGTTACCTAGCCGGAGAGTTGACTGTACGTCTCATATCTTTTCTTTCAGCTTACTCTATATCTTATGACAGGAGGCTGGCTTATCTCTGAAGTGCTGCTGAGTCCTGTTAAATTCCGCCAACTCCTAAAGAAGCCGACAACAACTAAAGATCAGCTTCGTTTACTAAACCAAGTAACTGACAACAGGTTTTCTAACCACGCACTATCAGAGAAAGACAGCAACGCCACCGTCGACAGTCCGAACGTTCTTTACCGTCTCAGACGTTCTTTTCATCCTTGTGAGAAGCGAAGAGTATTCAAGTATAACAACTGTCTAAAAAGACATGTCGAAGAAGTTCACTGCAAACAACAACATGTTGGATGTCTCCTGGATGGGCTCCCACCACCAACGTGCAAGAAAAATTATCAACTCTTCTTCGGAGAGAATGGAGCTTGTCATGTTGCAACAAGTTGTTCTTGTGCATGAAGAAAATAATTTGTGATTATCCGCCTATGTGAACTGTATGACACTGAACTATTTATCACTTTGTGAGGACGGTCGTTAGCCTGTAATATAAATATGTATTTAATATTTATTTTTTCGCCCCTCTTGTACCTTCAGTCGTAAAGGTCTCGTTTGGAGTTACAAAATACAGGTTTGAAACTGACGAATAAAATGCTTGTAGGCAATTGATAGACAGGCAAGTAAAGAGAAGAGTAATGTTTGTTTACCGATGTAAATGAATGAAGAAATTTACTCGTGAGAAATGAAATCGGTTGTAGGGAGGTTTCCTTCGACCTATGGGTGTGAATTCACTTAGCTGTTTTGCTACTAAGGACAGAGTAACAATTATATATAGCTAATTAAGCTGGTTGGGATGCTGAAAGACTTTGAAATCCGTTCCCCTCTCTGGCTGTTTCTCAGGAATTTTCACCTTGGCCCCAGTGCTTGGAAAAAGGGAGGGGCGACCCACCCAATTTCCGGGTTTTATAAACGGCAAAATGATCCTGAGGACAAGACCTGTGACTGAATAGCTATGTTGGAATGTCTGAGTGACTTTTTAAACCAGTAACTCAAAATTCGCCGTCAGGTCACAAAACATAGCAAACCTTTTACGGCTTTCTTCAGAGTGGAGGATTTTTTGGTCTAATCTCAAAGTTAAAGCCTCTAAAAGGCTTAAGTGGAAAACCAAGGTCAATATTAAATTTTGTTAGATAATGGTTTAAATTTGAGTATCGGTAATTATTATATCATAATCATATATAACCGATGATCACCTAAGAACTGGGCTGAACCTCCCTCAACAGACCCTTAACAGCTCCAGACACTAAAATGATTAGAAGAATTTTACTTAACTTACGAAAGAGGAAGTTTAAACCAAACCATGACAAGGAACATCAGTTTCATTTTAGTAGAAGGTGTAGAAATCTATAGGCATGATTGCATCAGAGACGTATTTAACACACTCAAGCACTAACAAATGACCTCTCGAAAGTTATCTAGCGCCTTTAATTTTTTGTAGGGATTTAGATTACATATATTTGGTATCACAAGCTCTCGGAGATAAATTAAGAAGCTGACCGGTAAATCTCTGATATTTGAACCTCCCCAAAAATTTCCATGTATGACATTTCAATCATTTATAAGCTACAAGAAATGACCTTTACTCAGGGATGTTCCGGGATTGAGGATTTTCCGGTTCACCTGCATCAATTAATCAGCAACTTTACGATTTTCCTCATTTTTAAAAACATTCTCATTTATACGGGACCGTCTGATTGAAGATGTATTCAGTGCTTTATCTTCCCTCTTTTCTAGCTTGCGTTGCACATGGTTGACTTCAAGGAAAAACGAAAATGTGATGAAAAACGGATTTAAGACTACAGGCGACGGGAAGTTACCTGTAATCGTTCTATTTTGCTAGTTTTTCCTTATTCCAAGTTTTACGGTGCTCTCTGAGAAAACTTGAAGGAGTATACCTTTTTCAGCACTATCGACATGTACTTAATGCAAAAGTTAAAAATGTTCTCTTTTTGTTACGAGATTCAACCTGACCTCATTATAACGGAACAGATGAGTATCAAAATCAGTAGATCTGGTAGACCAGTTCGGTTTGGAGATTGAGCAACAAGGAATGTTCTTATTCGGTTTCCCGTTTCAGATTCAAGAAACTCGGTTATAGAGATATGTTGATGCTTTGTGAAGAATCAAAAGTGACGGTATAGACGGAGGTATCTGTTTCAGCTGCATTAACTTTTGACTGCACATAAAGCGTACCAAGTCTACTAACCAAGCTACCACGCGACGCATGTCAGTTTGACGAGAATATGCTAACAAAGCTAATTTCTATGATCACATTTTCCGCGTTCGGTATTCTTCAGCTCAGACAAGCTAAACATTATTGTTCTTTTCCGTCACTTTCACTTCGTAAACTGACAGTTACTGAAGCGTGGGTGGAACTTGGGGCACCTTCCGTCCATTGGACCAGATATCCCGCGGAAATTTCGAAACGAAAAAACTACTAATTATAAGTTATTAAAACCGTTTAGTGGAAAATTTCGCAAGTTCCGGGACGAAAATGATGGAAACGGTATTTCGGGGAAGAAAGAATCTTAGAAAAATTTATTATAGGTCACAAGGATGTCCTCTTTTTTGGAAGTGAAGAAAAAATATATATATATTCCGTAGACATTGGACAAGCCCTTGAGATCTTAAAAAAAACAATTCTATTTTGCTAACCTTGAGGGTTTTATCCACAAGCCCTAAATTTGATAATGTACCTGGGATGTTGCTGTACTCCCGGGCTGTACTTTATCTTGAACTTGATAATTTTGCTTAATACGTGTTGTGCTTTTTTGGACTCAAAACAGCTGGACCACTTCTATAGTTTTTGAGATATGTTATAGTTGTATTTAAACTGAAGTAAGTATTCTAAAAAGAATAACTTACTTACTCAAGGATTTTGTCGATTAATCGTAATAAATGCTCTTTATCAATCTGAGATGACCAAAAATGTTTTTGAAGCTGGTATTGAAAATAGTTATACCGCACAGCGGCTTTAAATCGAAATTTTATGCGTGAACATTATCTTATCTTTGAGGGTTTTGGAGGCCATTTTCTCAACTTCTCTTCAACTCGATCGAAAGAGCTTGTCCAGTTTACATTTGCGTTCACTTACACCTGCATTCAGTAACAGACGGACTCTCTAACATCGTCGATTTCATACAAGTAAGTAACTTAATTTAGAAACGCGTTAGTTTTTCTCTGTGGTTTGTAGATAGCGTGCGAACCCTCTAGTTTTTTCCTGCACCAGCCTTCAGAAGCATTCGCGTGTCAATTTCAGGGTCTATTCCCGGCTTTGTTTGTGCGAAATTAGTGACTCATTTTCTATATAGAGGGAAATACAATCATTGTCAAAAGTGTTGGAAAGGCTACAACTTTTACTTCATTTTTCCTTCTTTCCCCCACCCCCTGGGGCAATGTTGAATTAATTAAATAAGTAAAGTGTTTGTGCGCTTAATTGTTCTGGTACTGATCCCAACACTGCCGGGACAAGAGATATTTAGCAGAAGGGAAAACCATCTTCTTTGAACATTAAAAGTGAACTATGTTAAGCCTTTTTTGTACAACCTTCCCGGCTACTTTTGTCCGGGATTGTTACAAGTTCATGTTTTTTTCTACCCTGCTAGCAAAGTACAAGTCACCTTCTGAATTTTGTCATCGTCGATCGTCTAAACGGTGCTGATAAACCAAAACAAAAAAATATTTCCTATTTCAAAAAAACTCGATCTTTTCCAAGCTACATGAGCCAAGGTCAAAAAAAACTAAATTTATCTGTTGTCTTTGCCGTCTGTTATCATTAAAGGAGGGAGCTGACTTCCTCGTAACATACCAAACAGCGTGTAGTATATACTTCATTCATATTGGCCAACAAATGAGATCGTAGCAGCTTATATAGGTAACCTGCGCTAAAACGGGGAGAAAATTTCTTTTGATTTGATAAAAAAAAATCCTCTTTTGGTTTAAAATAAAGGGAGTTAGGAGCTTGAGTAATAGAAAAAAATACCAGACTAATCCCCTCTCAACTAGTCTGCTACACAGCCGTTTTTAGTGTCGTCACGCCACGCTCCTCCACAGCGTTGCGTGACGTCAGCGTTGGGTGACGACCCTAAAAACGGCTGTGTAACAGACTACCTCTCAACTTATTGGAATGCCATGGTCAAGAGTGGAGGCATGAGAGGTTTGTAGTCAGATTAAAGCAAAACTGCTGATGCAAAATACTCTAAAACTACTAACAAAATCGTGAACTTTCTTTGGATAAAATCATCACTGACAACTTTTCTGCTCGCCCTGCTGGTTATAAGGGGGGAGAGCGTAGTTTGAATGTTAGAAGAGGTTGTAAACGTGCTGGTGACAGCAGAGAAGAAATTAAGGAGCTTAGCTAACTACTTTGACGGCGGCTACAAAAACGTCACTTAAAAAGTGAATTTGCGAGAGTGCTTCAAACTTAACCGCGCTTATTCCATCTCGTTCAATTCGTCAAATGTTGGCAACTGTTTTCTAGCTGGAGTTGAATTCTAAAAGACTGTATCAAAGTTCAGGAAAAGAAAAGGAAAGTCGTTGTCTTTTGTTCATGTCCTCCACAAAAGATGAAATTAGGCACTTTCACGTCGTAGTCGGGCAGTGACGGCTAAGAAATGAAAACAAAAGCGTGCAGCACGTGCCGTTCTCGTTGCCGTCGCCGTCGTCGTTGCTTAAACTCCCTATCATAATTATATGCCGCTTGTCTCGGCTATTCTAAATTTTCGTGAAAGGTGTGGCAAGGGGAAAAGTTAATAACCCTCTTTATATCAAAGTTACAAAGTGACGATTCGAAAAATCTAGAAATACAAAGTGCACCTTAGTTGGAACATTATATTTTCTGTAACTATTGATTACCTTTGAGACCCTAATCGGCTCTAAGAAACTGGCATTGAGCTCTGAACTACAAGTGTTGTATACGTAAGCATTACCACAACAACTCCAATAGATTATTATTATTCATGATTATTATTTATTTTTGAAAAAGCTGTTCATTCGGTAGACAGGAGAAAAAGACGATTATTAATAACTACTGACAATTTTTGAATAACTTATTGAGAGGGATTGAACTTCTTTTTACTGCGTTACTGTCTAAATACTTATATTCGCGATGACTATCGAAACTAAGAATACAAAGGCTTTTTCGGTACACTTATTATTTATAAGTGTTGCACATTATGAAACTAAAGTTTCCTTTTCTTAAATAACTTCGAAAAGTGTAAGCCTTTTCATTTTCTTAAAGTCAGCTGGGATTTATGGAGAAGGGAAAGTGTATGGAAGAAAAACTACCGAAAAGATGAAAATGGATAGCGTTTAATTGATTCATCTGTTATAAACTTTAAGGCACCGAAAGTGATATTTTTAAAAAATGAATAGAATGCCATTTCAAATAAGGCGAACCATTCATTACAAATACCCCGAAGATCGAATCGGTCACGCGGAGGGAAGTCGTTCTTCCAGTAAGAGATCATCTGTTGTTTTAGTAACATCAAACCATGGTTAAAAGGCGAACAAGTAGGCTGAACGGATTATGATCAAGGTTTAACAAGGAGCTGAACTTAATGCTCTCACCTCGTGCACGAAAGTGTTTTATCAAAGACAGGAAGTTGTCAAGTGAATTCTTTAAGTGAAAATAAACAATTTTAATGTCAAATTATTTTATAAGAACTTTACGGTAAAGTAAAAAAATGAATAAACGGAGACCACGAAACTGATGTTTCTGCTTTCCTGTAGGGTACGTGTCTGACAATGTTTTGTATCAGCTTTGTGGTGTTTGTGTAATTCCTTCTTTTTAATTTATCCTCTTTTTACAGTCTCTAGTTACACTTGAGAAAAACATAGCAGAAATAATCGACTGATTATTGAAATTCTGTTTTTGAAAATGAGCTTGCTGAAATTTTTCTGAAATATTCCAAGCCCATTAATTAGCGCCGGTGTACGTAAATTGCAATTTGTCAACAGAGTCGGAAGTTGATTAACCGGAACCTGCTTTGATTTCAGGGAATCCCCTCTCTTAACGTAATGTGGTAGTTACCACATGTACCACCTAATTACGCCTATGTCCCTGGCTTGCTGGGCTTGGATACATTCCTTCGCATTACTGGCGCCCAAAGCCTAAGCCTACTGATAACTAGTTCAGTCGACAAGCGATTGAGGGAGACATTTCGCGATCATAATGTCATGCATAACGCGTTAGATTTATTAAGTAGTAGCTACACTCTGCTCTCGTGGTCGTTCGAGTTTTTAGAGAGTCTAAAATTATGGAGGTTGAAGCGAAAAAAAATACTCCTTGCTCTGAAGGATCGTCTGCTTAATCAGAATGTCTCTGCGTGCATAAGAATATCTCTCTTGACTAAATCTCAGCCTTAAATGGTATGTTTTTAAAACCTGGCTAAGCATATCCAGCCTCGAAGTTTTTACAATGCAATTGTTAGAAAAAAAGAAGTGGTTTTAGAGTTTTTATTAGGTCAAATGATGGGAAATTGGCAAATTTGCTTTTAATTGTTCGGGGGACCGTTTTGGCCCAAGACCAAGTTGCCAACAGGCTATCACATTAACACGTTTTAAAGTTACTAATGTGAAAAGAGCCCTTGCTACATAGCTCGTGAAGATACATACTAGATATGTTTCTTGTCAACGAAAAGAGTGCTTTGTCAGCTTTGCTCTTTTTTTCCGTAACACGCCACAAAAGAAATGTACTACATCGAATCAATGCAAAAGCGAAATTCATTTCTCCTTGAAGTTGGAGCCGCCGGAAAAAAAGTTTCACTTTGAAGGACACCTTCAGTATTTTCTACCTGATACAGTCTTGTTTGATAGTAAATGGCGTTAAATCGGTTAAGTTCGAATTCCTCCGTAAAAAAATGACGGGAGAAAACAGCACGATCCAAAGCGTGCTGTTTTTCGATGTTACACTTCAAAAACCTTGAAATAAATTTCACCCGTGTATACCAAGCAATAGAATTTCCTCTCACATTATCGATACTTGTGTTGTCAATGATAACCTATATTAGATGTGTACTCCTTTAGAAACCACAAAGCAAGAAACAATTGCTCATATAGCGGTTACCGTGAGAGACAAGAAAAACTCATACGCGTGCCGTTAAGTGATAAGATGTACGATAAGTAAAAAATACCTTAGCTAGACAACAGGTCAATAAGGTCAACTAGGATGAGGAATGTGGTATTTGTACTAGTTGATCGAAATAACAGTACAGTGTCAGAGGAAGTCTAACATGACAATAACTCAACGGGTGGATACGGAATAGTTATTCAGTGTGTTTCAGTACATTTAAGAATGAGAAAGAATGGATGCGACAGTTATTTGATGTCCACTGCCTTTGTAGGATATAATGTTCTTTTTGCCAAAAAAAAAAAAATACACTTCTACTCACCTTGCTTGTGAAATATAGCTAGAAAGTATTTTGTTACAGTTAAAAAAAAAACACGCACATTTAGGAAAAATGTTTGATGAGAGAATTTTCCTCCTTTGGAACTTGCCTCCCCGGACATGAGTTAAGCGGAACGAACTTTGAGGGAATCCCCTTCAAAAGATTACGTCAACGCCTACAGGGAATCACCGCATGCAACTCCCTTTAAGTCAACGTGGGCGCAGAAGAGGGGCAACCCCTCAGCTTGAGATTTTCTTGGTCAAGGTTAAATGCAGATATCATTTGATTCCATTGGTGGTGCAACAACAGGACTGAGCTCATAAAATAACTTTACAACAGGAAGTTTATTCGGTTGCTACGAGGGCAAACAAATATCGGGTGATGAGATAATCGACACTATGCACTTGTTACTTGCATCTTTAAACTTACATGCCATCAAAGCTCCAACATTATCCTATTTTTGGAGTTTCTAAAAATGACATCTGGCTGGATCCTATAAAAATGGTCAGGCTTACTGCATTCGTTAGAAAAGTAGAGAGGGCAAACGTTACTGAATTACCAGCAAGCTCACAAGATTTTTTGTCAACGTACCATTTGAAAATGCTTCGTAACTTACAGGTATGTGTTGATTATTTCTGTAGGAAACAAACTAAAACGATATTCATGCTATAAGACTGCTGCACTACTATTCTACGGGGACATTGGGAGGTGGCGAACGGCGTAACCTCGCAAGGATAGAGCGACAAATATGATAATCGCAATTTCACGTCGTAAATCGACCCAAGCGCAGCAAATTAATATACTGGCGGTATCCCTTACTTTTGGAAACATCCCAACTCTTGATTCAGCTGCCCAAAATTTCGGCAAAACACCTGCTTACTATGCTTTACGTTGAACTGTGTCTTTCCTGATTTAAACAGTATTCAGAGGTGTAATCATGATCGTGCCTTGTTTCTGATTTTCGCAATAAAATCCAGACATGCCTTATTTTATGAGCCCCTGGCGGGCTAAAATCAATAAAGCCTTTCATTTGTAATTACAACTTTGAACTTGATTGGGATTGAGGTAAATTAAACAGTTTACAAATTTGCAAAATATAAAAAAATGACAACAATTTCTGCATAAAAAACGTAGCAGCTTTTATGTATTGTTACGGTAAAGACAAGCTGACACGTAAGTTGACGTTGCTAAATTGAACTGATATCTGAAGCTGTCTGAGAATCTTTAAAAAAAATCGATGAAATATGAACTATTAAACATTCGTCAAACATTTAGACTAAAAATCGTAAAAATCAAACAAGGTTTTAGCCAAATTTCTACAAACCGACGTTCTAGTAACCGACGTTCATCGTGCATGGTAAGTCTATTCACATACTCGAGTTTTCACTTAGTTTCGTGTTCAAAAAAACAAGACAATCTCACCAAAACCTTTCAGTCACGTTTTGCTTTTTACACATAATTACTTAATTCTACGCGGTTAACGATAAAGTATAATCCATGAATTCACATAACGTCAGTACAAGGAAAAAAGGCGATTCAGTGCCGTGAGAAAAACTCTTAAGCGGAAACCAATGATCGTTTTGGCTCTGCTTCCGCCAGTTTATTAAGAGACTTAAGTAACAGATTAATTTAGATTGCATTGGTTATATATCGGACTGTATTTTTACGTAGCATGTTTTTCTTTTCTTTCCTCAATAGCTCTTCACGGCATTCATCTCTGTTCCTGTATTTCTGCTCTCGTTCAACATGGTCTCACCGCTACCATTGACTGACAGCGGGGACATTGAAGTATTCCTTCCTTTTGATCGTCACCTTCCTCAAGCCAATGCAGTCACCATACATCGAAACGTATCCCAACTTGACGGTAACAACACTAAATTGAATTCTGAGCATGCCCTTGTGAGACAGAGGCGAGCTGCGGGCTGTGTGAGATCAAAGACAGTGGAGAACTGCAATGGTATGCTTATAACGACAGTGAAGTGCAAAAGACGAAGCGTGGCGTGTCTACACGGTACCTCAGCCAATTGTTCTCCAGTGACAACTTACTATGGAAGATGTGGCCGAACGTTCGTCACAAATTGTTTATGTGCTTCATAGGTTCGCTCTGTATATTTTGTTACAATCTTTTCGGCATAGTATAATATGAATTGTACATTTGACTTTGATGATCGGCCAGTGGACTGTAAGATACGTCTGTCTGATATTCAGAAATTATAGTGTATTTTGAACAAAACTATTGTATTTCGTCCTAATTTTTCTATGAAATTTAATGGACATTAAATATCTATTCTAAAAAGTATTGACTTAAAGTTGTTTCACGTTTCATTTGGTCTTGTATGCGGGGAATAAAGAGCGAATGTTGATCTTTTGATTAATTGGACATTGATGACTTAATGATAGCGTGTTTATTTGGAAGAACAAAACGCACCTTTAAATGAGCTAAGTGTGAATAACCTCAATTTACCAAAACAGTTTCGATAGCCCATCTCGCCGTTTCCTGTAACGTCTTTCCAACATATCGCGCCTTTTCCGCCTGTTCTGTTCCTTTTTTTCAAGCGTCCCGCCTTTTCTGTAACCTCTTTCCCTTCACCTTTCTAGGAAAGCTTAGGGTATGGTTTTTGAACGAGTAACAAAAGTATATTTACCGATTTCTGTAGCTTTCACCTTACTAAAATTAGTAAATACCTGAAATATCAACAAGACTAAAGCTAACACCACTGCAATCGTCAATCGTCATCGCTGAATATGATTGGTTAATTTGATTTTCAGCGGGTGTTGTAATTGGTTACAGCAAGAGAGTATACTTTGGACCTGGTTTGACAATACTCCATCTAAAACCAGTATATGGATCAGCTCTCACTCTTTGTTATTACAAATCAACTTTAAGAAGCTGGAATTCATGAAAATCACCGTTGGTCAGCAATGTCCATGATGGCTGCGTGGATCCTGGAGCCGACGGGTCGAGCCACAGTGGCCTTTCTGAGGCTAAAGTTTTTGGTATTCATTCTTTGAATAATTTGGTAAAATGGTAAATAATATATAGATCAGTAGCCAGGGCTAAAAGCGATGCTTTCGATAATATTTTTCGCGTTTTTTATTCGGGGCATAGCGCGCTGTGCGGAGGGTAGTAATTATGAATAGAAGTTGACAAGAGAGATGTTTGTCCTCTCTTGCTGTTGAGTAATCAGTTTGGATCCTCAAAGATTTTCGGCTACATTGTCCAGGCTCTAACAATTCTTCACCCCACCATTCCTATAAAAATCCGCTCCAAAAAGAGACAGAAAATAATTAAAATATAGAAGCTGCCGTATTACCTTTTATCTCCCAGCCATAACATAACAATTGACTTGCTCGCAAGTTAGTAAATTAAATCAGTACCCTCCGGTATCTTTCATTGTTATTTCTAATCGGTATGTGTAAGTTGATAAAGGAAACGTAAAAAAATGATTCTCGGTATATTAGTTACTCCATGAAAAGGTAAGAGAAATGTGAAAATCATGGGCTGATTTTGTTGTTTATCGATTTTCAATTTCAATTAAAAAAATCGATTGGTGTTGGGTACACTGATGACATTTTTTAATCTTTTGTTTTTTAAATCGGGCAAAAATAATAATTGAAGAGGTATTTTTGATAAAAATTATAATAATTTAGATATGATAGATCGACTGTAAAGGAGGCTTTCACACCTCTGCAAACTGTTCAATTCTTAGCAACTTCTCACCGTGTCACCCCACCCCTCCCCCGGCATCTCCTCAAGTTTTGACCGAGTGGAGCTTGGGACCAGGGGAAACCAAGATGGCGCCTGATAATGGCGCCGTTGTCGACATTGTTCAACTTTAAATCGAATACGCAAGGATTCTGCGAGAACGCGGCTTGATCTTTCAGTTCATTGGTTTATCAACTTCTGGATCATTTAACTGTGATAAAAAAAGTACTTTATTGAGAACAAAAAAGGCTCAAGGCTGTGTACAAACCCTTGTGACAAAGCACTGATCATGCACTGCATGGAGAATTTTGATCAAAGTACAGGTAAGATGTAACGGTTTAAGCTTACACGAAAATTTTAGAGCTAACGAAACTACGTAGAAGCAGCTTAGTTGAGAATTTTAAATTAGGTTGAATTGCTTGGGTTAAGAGGGGTCAGTTAGAGATTGATGGGTAGTCAAAATGTTTTGTGTTGTTGTTTTAAGTCACGTGCCCAATTCCCTTGCTCAGGGCTGTCACCCCCGACGTCTTCAAATATTGAGAATTTATAGCAAAGTGATGATAGATGACATCATAACACATAGCACATGACGTCACTTGTGCAAAAGATACCTGTTGACTCCAATCGCCACGAATTTGTGATGACACAAAACGCATGAAAAAGATGTTGTTGTATAACATTATTGACTTGATTGGTTTACTTCCCACCAATCACATTATTGCTTATAGTATACTGGCATACAGGAGATTATAAGGAAACATTCGATGTTAAAAGTACAAAAATAGCTCAAACAACGCAAAATATTTGAAATTTATTGTCGGAAAGTCAACTCTACAAGAAATGGCAAAATTCGGCTATTATCCAGGGGATATCATACTCAAACCTAGAGACAGGGAGATACGGTCCAAAATCTGGTGTCTCCCAGATTATCCGGGAGAGTTGACAGCACTGCTTGCTGGTGCTGGCAGAAATGGAAAGCTACTGAATGGTTTATTTTTTCTCCATTTTTGCACGGTCTTCATCCTGTTACCCCTAACAGTGACCAGAAATTTTTCCTCATTACAGCCCTTTGTAAAGAGTCATTTCCTAGAATATACCCTTCCACGTTTTTTCAACTTGTAATATGGACCTGTTAGTTAGGTGTGTCGACACCTTAATAAACAAAATACAAATTTGTTAGAGAGGAACAGTCTCTGCTTTAATTTGCATTTTGTTTCTATTTTCCATTCATTCAGCAGCCTTCTCTTATTGGCCACTTTTCTTTCTCCCCTCTTGTTCCCTTTTTTTTGTTTGGTGCCATCACTATCACCACAGTGGAAGCTGTATAGGGAGACCCTCGGGACATGAAAAATAATCAACAGGGCTGGTCACTGCCAGAGACTGTTATTTACTTATAGTAGGTATCCACTAAGTTGTTCATTTTTGCCTAACAGGAGTCAGATCAGTGAAAGTATAGTATGCTGCCTAGGGCCTGTAGTTTTTCATCTTCATCTGAGAAAACTGGAGCCTCTAACCGTTTGCAGATGTCAGAAAAAAGCGGCACTTTCTCCTTAGTTAATTAAATACAAATACAATTGGTTATTGACACTCCCCTTGTGGGGTTTTCAGTGGCAATGTGAGACAAATAAAAGAAACTAATAAGTTAATAAAAAAAACACAATAAAAAAATACAATAACAACATGCCTATTTAAAAGTTATTTATGTAATAAAATGCTATCTCTATGTGCTATACAACATGCATATTTAAAAGTTAAAAACATTATAAAATACTGTTGTTACATGCTGTTTAAAAAATCAGTAATCAATTTATTTTTGAGGTAAAACTTACAAGTTGAAAGGCCCAGTTATTAAACCAGATTGTAGACAGTGTTTGACAAACCAACCTCTACATGTAAATCATTTTAACTTTGTGCAACCCTCTCGTCCAAGCATTGTTTGCTGTTAATAGCATCAAGAAGGCTAGTACAGCTTAGACTAGAGAGCCAGTTGTATATGTTACAAGTCAAACTTTATTTCAGGTTAAATTTGTTTAGTATATACTAAAACAGTGGATAGTGTTTTTCGCATGCTCTGATTGGCTACTCAGTCAGTGAATATCCTGCACTATTCACTGATTCACCTCCAGTTCCTCTGAGCGAGCGACGCCAAACTCGCGTAGGTTGCAAGCAAAATGCTTTCCAGGTTTGCTGCCGTAACAAACTAAGAAATTTCACAACTAATCAAGCAAGCTATTTCCGAAATACATGAAGAAGGTGACGAAGTTCGGTTTGGAAGTTTTAACAGGTAAAGCTTTGTCTTTTTGACTTGAATAGTTATCGATAAAACCGGTGAAAAAGTTTTTTGTTTACAAATGCAAATTAAGCTTAAGTCTTGCGCTACTTTATTTAGTTGACTTGTTCATAAATAAGCTTAAAACTAAATTTAATAATCTTTTTTACAGAATTATTTTAAATACAGACAGAATTCACAACTCCTTTTGAAGAAAGTTCCCCGCAAGAGCTAAACAAACGCCTTCAAAAGTTTTATTTGTCGCTAAGAAAAAGCGACGGCTGTGGCCTTTCGGTCATCGCGCGCCAAAATTGTAATCGTTGGCAACAGTAAATGAGTTAAAAAGCATCATTTTGTACTCAATTATCTCACTGTTTTAGTATATACTAAAACAATTATTCACTTCAGTGTCGGTGGCTAGTAGTGGATAATTTACCTTGCCGCTTCGCGGCCTCGGTAAATATCCAATACTAGCCACCTCCACTTCGGTGAATAATTGTTATTTAGCCCAGGATTCTTCTCAATTTCCTATGTCTTCTAACCCTTTTTTGTCTCGCTTGCGTAAGCAGCGAGACTCATAACCTGCAATGCGTTCTTCGCCCCGGAGGGGGGGGGTTACTCCCTTATATAGGCCATATAGGTAAGTGCGGCGCCAAAGGGTATGGTTTTTAGCCGTTTCGGTCTAAAATAGGGTATCAATTTCAACCATTTTGGTCTGAAATAAGGTATGGTTTGTGTACTCTAGTCTTGAATTGGGTATGTTTTTTAGAAGAATTAGCTACTTCTTTATCATTTGGTGATAACAACATTTCCCTTTTAATATTTACACCAACTACCGTGTACGTGCTGTAACAGCTTGTCACAAACTCTGGTCACGTGCTGGGCTCCAGGGCTTCAGGTCTGAAATAGGGAATCAAATTTTTTATCAGGTCTGAAATAGGATAGGGAAAATCACAGATTTTGGACTGAAATAGGGTAAGGGTTTCAGGAAGTGTGCCGCACATCCCCACCCAATTTTTCTGGAATCCCCCCCCCGGGCTTTTTCGTCGTATTTAGGACACAAATCAGGGGTCATTGTTCCAGGCGTAGACTGTGAAAACTGGGACTAAGGATCACTGCGTGATCAAAGTCACACATGTTTTGCGAGGAAAGCTTAGGAAAGATTAAATTTGGAGTTTTTCCAAAATGAGTCAGTCCACACATTCTGTCACTTGAAATCATTGATTACTTTCAGTTGGAACAAGTGAACACTACTGAGTGGTCGGAAAAAAACTAAGAATCTTAATTAGCAAAATTGTGATGGTTGGATGTTGTAAACTTTCATTGTGTGCAAATGGTCTTGTTATGAGCATGCAATTTATTTTTGGCGATGATTGAAATGATCAATGTGCCATGTAAATAACTTTTTTGATCTCTGGCAATGATGTAATTTCTCTGGAATTGAGGCCCTTGAATTTTCGTGTGTTTATTCACGCATATAGCCTGCAACTGCAGAGGTATTGCTGGCCGTCACTAACATGCGCACTAAATCAATTCAGAAACAAATAAAAAGTATCGATGTCGATAAAGTAGGAAGTAAAAAACCTTTAGCAAGTAAATCATGTTTCTTTTAGAATTAATCTCCTCCTTGTTTCTCGATTTAATCTCCAAGCAGGCGAGACTGAATGCCGCTGTAAGCACATTCTTGTTATTCATGAATAAGGACCAGGAAACAAAGGAAATTAAGAATCAACCTACATTAAATCAAAATTAACCTGAAATCAAATTTGACCTGTAACATATACATAAAATGAACACCTTCTAAACAGATCTGAATTGCCACTGAGTCTCTTAAACTGCCATTTAGCCTTTAGACTAGTATGAGAAATCAAACTCTTTAACATGACTGTTGTTGTGAAAGCTAGGACTTCAGCTGACCAACCAGTTCCCTTATTCCATTCACCACTACCCCCCTTCTTTTTGAATTCCTTTGTGGTTTACACATGGCTGTGATTCTTTGATTTTCATTTTTTTAAATGACTTTTTGTTTTGTTGCAGTCATAAGTCTCCAGTGACAGTTGTTACCCTGAAGAGTAACATAGCAAAGACAGAACCAAAATGTAAGTTTTACATTACCCCCTTCCTAGCAGTTGTTCTTTATACATTGTAATAATTTCTTGGGCCTTTTTGTAATTGTTTTGGGGCCATAGCAAACTGTACAGGTAATTTCTTGGGCCTTTTTGTTATTGTTTTGGGGGCATAGCAACCTGTAAAGATGCTACTAGGATGGCTAAGGTAACTAGGGTGGCAAGGGTGACTAGGATGATTAGGGTGACTAGGGTCGGTGACAAGGGTGACTGGGCTGACTAGGGTGACTTGGGTGACTGGTATGACTAGGGTGACTTGGGTGACTTGGATGACTAGGGTGACTTGGGTGACTGGTATGACTTGAGTGACTAGGGTGACTTGGGTGACTGGTATGACTAGGGTGGCTAGAGTGACTAGGGTGACTTGGGTGACTGGTATGACTAGGGTGACTTGGGTGACTAGGGTGACTTGGGTGACTGGTATGACTAGGGTGGCTAGAGTGACTAGGGTGACCTGGGTGACTGGTATGACTAGGGTGACTTGGGTGACTGGTATGACTAGGGTGGCTAGAGTGACTAGGGTGACTTGGGTGACTGGTATGACTTGAGTGACTAGGGTGACTTGGGTGACTGGAATGACTTGAGTGACTAGGGTGACTTGGGTGAATGGTATGACTAGGGTGGCTAGAGTGACTAGGGTGACTTGGGTGACTGGTATGACTTGAGTGACTAGGGTGACTTGGGTGACTGGTATGACTAGGGTGACTAGAGTGACTAGGGTGACTTGGGTGACTGATATGACTAGGGTGACTTGGGTGACTGGTATGACTAGGGTGACTTGGGTGACTGGTATGACTTGAGTGACTAGGGTGACTAGGGTGACTTGGGTGACTGGTATGACTTGAGTGACTAGGGTGACTTGGGTGACTGGTATGACTTGGGTGACTAGGGTGACTAGGGTGACTTGGGTGACTGGTATGACTTGAGTGACTAGGGTGACTAGGGTGACTTGGGTGACTGGTATGACTTGAGTGACTAGGGTGACTAGGGTGACTTGGGTGACTGGTATGACTTGAGTGACTAGGGTGACTTGGGTGACTGCTATGAGTAGGATGACAACGATGACTTGGTTGACTTTGACTGATTGAGCAACTGACTTACATGTACCAACTAACTGACTGACTTACAAACTGACAAACTGTGGAACTGATCTTCTGGCTGACTGACTTAGGACTAACTGAGAAACTAGCTAATTGACTGTCTGACATACAAACTGAGCGACTGACTGACTGATTGAGCAACTGACTTCCCTGTATGAACTAACTGACTGACTTACAAACTCACAATCTGAGCAACTGATCTTCTAACTGAGTGACTCAGGGCTAACCATACAACTGCCTTACTAACTGAGAAACTACAATCAGCGACAAAATTGTTGAGACATTGTACTCAAATAGCGTAACTTCAGAGAACAAAAGAATCCACACCCCTTCCCTGTCCTCTCCATTCAAAGTCGGGGTGTTTTTTGTTTTCTATAGGTAGCTTGAACATCGGCACAACGTTGCATGGAGGGGATGGGCCTGAAGGAAAATTTATATTTCCTCCTTTTGAAGTCAGTAAAAGGTAAAAAAGCCCAGTTTAGGGCAAAGTGTCTCAACTCATTTTGTCGCTGATTGTAGCTAAGTGACTGTCTGAAAACAAACTAACCAGATGATTTACTGACAAACTGACTAATTTACTTACTAACTAATCAGCTGATGTAATAACTGAGCAACTCAGTAACTGGCTAACTGTCTAACTGACTGACTGACTGAGCAAATTAGTTACTGGCTAACTTTTTGACTTGTTGAATGACTGAGTAACTGAGTCACTGGCTGATTGTTTGATGACTGACTGACTGACTGACTGACAGAATGACTGAATAACTGAGGGAATGACTGACTGATTGAACACCTCACCAAGTGTCTGACTAACTTCAAGCAACTGACTAGCTGACCAAGCTCAAAAAGTTACTGACTAGCTGACTGGCTACCTGACAGACAGACTGACTAACTGACTGACAGATCAACTGACTGAGTGACTGGCTAGGTAAGGCAAGGGGGCGGGGTACTGTTATCAAAGGAGGAGTGCCTTTTGCTAGTACAGTCAAGGGGTTGGTTATAATTTATTATAATTATATGTGGTAAATTTTTCCAACATGTTTGCTCACTGGTATTCATGAAAATGTAATGCAGTTAAAGCTTGTTAATAATGGGTACTATGTGGACCATATTAACAAGTTGTCTGTATTGAGCAGGTTGAATTTAGAGAGAGATTAAGGGCTTTCTTTCCCTAGGGACAAAGCAAACTGTCTGTAGTAATAAGCTTTCCAAACTAAGCAGGCGTCTGTAAAGCAAGGTTTGACTTGAATGGGAAATTAGACTATTCTGAAAATAACTGATGAGCTTCATTGTTTCCAGATCAGATGCCACAGAAAGACTGAACAAGGACCTTCATGAGCCAAGAGCCTCTGTTATCTTCAGTACTGTAAGTGCTGTATGGTTTGTGTTTTAATCCAGCGCTTAAATAATAAAAAAACATATAGACAGAACTAAAAGTTTCATTAAACTATACCACGTACCTTAAATTGTTTCATTTGACAGTTATTTCACTATCTAGTCTACCACAGTTGGGAGCTAAGAATTTTATCAATCTTACTTTTCAAAAAAACAGAAAAATTGAGCACGTTTTGTAAATAAAATCCAAAATTTCAGAGAATAATTTCAAAATAAATAAAACCAACCTGTAATTCCCAGTAACCCTGTAACCACTAGTAGCCCCCTTTAACCACCTGTAACTCCCTGTAACCTCCTGTATTCTCTTGTGACCCCCTGGAACCCCTCATAACCCCTCATAACCCCTTTTAAACCCCCTCTAATTCCCTGGAACCCCTCATAACCCCCTGTAATTCCTTTTTGTACGCGTGAACTAGTTGTTGCCTAGCACGTGACTGCAGCTATTGCTATGAAAAATTACGCGAGTGGATTGTATTGCACGATACTAAAAATTGTTTTCAAAGCACTTTCAAACTGTACATGAAATGACATAATCAGAAAATTGTAAAAATCATAAATTGGTTGTCATTTATTACACCAACAAGCTACTATCTTGTTTAACAAATTGTTTTAAACTAACAAAAACGCTCTACATTTGCATAATTGTGCTCAACTTCGTCGACTTTATCTCAGTCATCCTTGTCACCACAGTAATCCCATTCATCACAGTCATCCTAGCCATCCAATTCATACTAGTCATTCTGGTCATCCCAGTCATCTAAGTCATCCTTGTCATCCCTGTAATCCCATTCCTCACAGTAATCGTAGCCATCCACTAGACCATGTTCGCTATATTAAAATTCATACTTGGCTCTGAGGCTTGGGGGAATAAAACAAAAGAAATGTACTGTTCATTGCTGGGCCTCAAGATGATTTCTTTTGTTTTATTCCCCCAAGCCTCAGAGCCAAGTGTGAATTTTAATATAATATTACCAATGGGTCTATTCATACCAGTCATCCTAGTCATCTAAGTCATCCTTAGTAGTCATCCCAGTTGTCCCAGTCACCCTATTCGTCCAATTCATCTCTGTCATCCCAGTAATCCTAGTCATTCTAGTTATCCCAGTCATCCTAGTAATACCAATCATCCTACTGTTTTTATAACCGGAGTTTGTGGAAAGCTGGGCTAGCCGAGATTTTGAAGAAAAACAACTTTTACAAACTAGGTATATCTATCGATAGAGTGCCAACGAGCAAATCATGCGTATTTTGCTTACGAATAAAATTTCTTTTTTCCCCATTTGATCGTTTCTTGGTCCCTTCCTTTTGCAAAGGATTTTTTTTCTTGAAAAGGTTTTATGCATGTAACACTTTATGAGGTTCCGGAGAAGAGTCAGTTCTCACATTCAGTCTGGTAGCTTTACAAACCTGCTATGTAAAAGTGTGAAGTGTGTTGAAAGAGTAAAAGCAGCTTTGCAGAGGAAGCGATCGGGAATATTATTAAGTCCAGCTACAAATCTACTGTCGGTTCGGTTTCACATTGCAGATAAATATTTGCACAGTTTAATCATTTAAACCTCCTTTCAAATTTCCCGAGGCTTTTTGTTACCCGATTAAAACTTAGAATGATTCGCTGCACTATCTGAAATGTTTCCCAGGACATGCGATGTACGGCACGTCGGTATTTTAGTTCATTTTTTTATACTGAACTCGGCCAGGTTTCGAAAAAAATGGCGTTGTTTTCTTTTCCTTTGTCATTTGTTTTAGGCTTGTAATTCGTTTTTTTCTCATTTTTTGTTTGTTGGTTAGATTTTCTCCCCAACACCAGATTTTGCAACAGAAGCGACTGTATTCTTCGTGTCAAGCTTTCCTTATCTCCCAGTGTAATCTGATCCTTTTTAGTGGTGAGAATATTGTAAATATTGCTTGTTGCACATAGAACTCTTTTGCTGTTTTACAAACTTCCCTTTAAATCTTAGCATTATGGCCCCTAAAATTAATACAATATATCAAGTGCCCATGTTTCTTGACTGCAGTGGCCAGGTTTGACAAATAAATTTAAGTAAATAAACACAGGAAGTCGCGACGGCGGGAGTTGTGTGAAATTTTGTATTTTAAAAAGCCAACCACATGCAACTTGAGCCCGTGCGCCAGGTACTGCCCTTTGATTGGTTGACAACTGACCACTTGGTCTGAGGGGAATCTACATTACATGAGGTTACGGGTTACACTTTTTCCAACTCGATCGAGAATTTTTCTGCCTATCAACCCAGTCTTGCGCAGCTCTATTCTGCTGCTGCCTTGGCAATGATAGTCTGAGTGAATGGGGATGTTGTGTATGAATCAACGAAAAGTCCAAACAATTTTTGGGGGGCCAAAAACGCATGCGTCTGTGAAGAAGCGTACCATAAGTGAGCGAAATGAGTTTTCGATCTAAATATATAGGTCGGTTTTCTAAGGCAAAGTTAGGTTGATTATTTCCGGTGGGGTTATAGGGCGGTGAGAGATGGCCAACTCTCTGAAGCCTGCTTGACTAATCCGTGCGGAAAACGACTTACCGGGGGGGGACTGTCGAGCTTGCTGACGGTCACCAAACTCCGGCCCAGCAAGTGCAGGGAGGTGCTCGAACTATTAACTCGGTCCCAGAGGTTAAATGGGAACCTCGGCACCAGAGGTTAAACGGTAACTCTGTCCCAGAGTTTAAATGGGAAAAAAATGGCCACTAGAGCTGCCTCCCTGTAGGGTTTTTGCTATTTTTTGTGACGTGTCACGCTGCAAGAGATGTAACGCAATGTCACGCAATATGTATTTTTTTTACCCGGGGGACTCACATATGAAAGGGGTGGGGATGCTCGTCGGAAATTTTGAAAAACCCCTAAAAAAAAGCATTTACAAGCAACAGCATGTGTATTTTGTAACGTCAAACGATTCTGGGCTTATCCTGTTGCTTGGCTTGATAAAGATCAGCTGTAACATACACATCTGTCCGTAACATGACTAATCGTTTGCTCTGAAATTACTTTTGTAATCCTTTAAAACTTTCGTGAAACAATGTTTTAAATTCTACTAGGAAATTTAGCTCGTTCTTTAAAGTTAGAGGCCTTTGAGAGTCTCTCTTGTTTCTTCCGCGATGGAACATGATACGCGTGAACTTTTTCTGTTGCCTAGCACGTCAGTGCAACTACTGTGATGAAAGCTTGCGCAATGTTAATTTCAAAAGCGGATGGTATTGCACGAGATAAAATATTGTTTTCAAAGCTCCTGGATGTTTCTGAAGTTTTCGAAACTTTATGTACGCAATCACGTCTCATAAAAAACAAAGGACGAAATATCAAAGGGAGATGCTATCGCATATCGCGTACACAGCAATTCTATTCAAGAGGTCAAATTACAAAGTAAAGTTGCCAGCGAAAAAAAAAATTCTCAGACTGTTGACACCGATAATCAACTGCGATAATGCCAATGGACATTCACAAACACCCGGAGTAGTCAATCGATAAAAATCGGTATGGATTTATCAATCAATAGATCGATAAAAAGCGGTAAATCTGATTTGATTGATATCGATTGTATCTATCAATCAGTAGAAATCGATGACACACTCGTTTCGTTCATCGATTTATCTAGATTTTACCGATGCCATCGATTTGTATCGGAAGATGCATCTGTTCTTCTGTACATCCGAAAATGAAAACTGATTTCATGCAAACAATGAATTTGTTGACAATTAAGTTGCAATTGAGAGTCTAAGGATCAACAATTTATTATCACTTTGGAAAAAAAAGTTTAAAAAAACTTCTCTTTTCTTTAAAACCCGCTTTAAAGTCTTTCTCGGATGGCCGATATTGGCCAGGTTTTTTATTTTTCCCAGTTTTTCACGATTTAGATCTGCCGCCCTTTCAAAATAACCTCAGTTCCGTGTGTAGTTACTTCCCGGAGTAGCGCCAATGGGTAAAAATCGAAATTGATAAAAATCGTCAGCGATTAAGTGATTTTATCGATTGATAACGCCGGAAAACGGTGAAAAGCTATCCAGAGAAATCTTTTAGCCTGAATTTCGGGTATCCCTTTGCCTCTAAATTACACCGACCTCATTCCTGAAGGAGTTGTCGGCTGTTCTTCTCGTATTGAATTAGAGCAGAATAATGTCTGCCGATGTCACAGACTCGCTCATGAATCCATAGCAACAGGCTAGCAATTTAGCCTGCACCACAGACGAAACTAAACTCTGGTTATGTAAGTCTGTCTGTGAAACAGCGCCGGAATCCTTATTCGACGGGGGCCCCA